ATTTTATACTTCCAGTCTTTTGTTGCTAATATATAGACACAACTGATTTTTTATGTTGCTCTTGCATTATGTGGGTGGGGGCTTCCAGATGCCTTGCAGCTTTTGGCTTCAGCCCTTGGAGCCCTGCCCTGAGACCATTATGACATGAAAAGGTCTGGACTAAAAGACCAACAAGGTTATAATAGCTCAACTAGAAAATAACAAATTGCTGTATTTTAAACCACTAAATTTTTGAATGGTTCGTTATACAACAATAGATAACTGACACGAGTTTAGGTAGAATTACAGTAAAGAATATAGTTTAGAAATTCTCACAGAGGCAAAATTACAAGCAGAAACAGACAATAATAAGTTAGGACATGAGTTGGGCATTTAATTAGGATCAAAGAAGCAAGCGAGGTTTAATGAGATGGGCAGGCAGAAGGCTAAAACCACAGTTACCTGCAAGGAATTAACTGCACTGAAGCTAAAGGGGACTCTGCCTGGATGCAGTTAGATCAATCTGGCTAGTTTTAATTCAGAGGAGCTTGATCTTTCTTGGACTTAAAAGGTCAGGGAATATTAAATCAAAGCCAATTTCTTTTTGTCAGAGGTTCTGGTCCACCCAGGATCATATGAGTGTGAAAATAATGTCAGGGCCTCATGTAGAGGTGGATGTCTCTTAAGGGTTTTGGATTCTTATCAGCTAAATATAGGTTTCCCCACTCAGGACACCTTAGATTTCTTCTGCTTTAATTTTCTTATACCAGGGCATTCTGCTACAACTTTCAAGTGATTCTAGCATGGAAAAGGATTTCAATATAAAATAATTATTATATATAACAATAAACTTACAACTGTGTCAGAGATGGTTTTACAATGTAATTGACAAACTATTATAAAGTTATCTCTTTGTAGGTAAAAGAGAGAAGCACTCATTTATCTGATTTACAAAATGCCCCACAACTGAAATGAGCTGATAATCAAGGTTTTCTAAGGCTGTTTGTCAATCCAGATATGCCATATATGAGATATATCTGTACTTCCGGATGTCTGAACTAGAAAAATGATTTAAAGGATATGGGGTATTACTAAGAAAGAACAAGATGCCCAAGTAGATCATTCTCACACTGATAGAAATAATATGGTTCCTGCTACCTTAAGATAATGGGCTAGGAAGGAAATAGGATAAATAAAATGCCTATCTAATGTATTGTCAGCCATTTGAGACATAAGCATTATTATGACAGTCAGAATCCTGAGTTTCTGAAACTTGATCAGACTACTCTGTGTATTTCTATATCTAGCTCTACTTTGTTTTCCATAAATAGTTAGTAAAGTCCATATTGAAATATTAGCTAATCTTAGCAGTATTGAGAAGTCAGGGAAAGTGAGATTTTTTAACTTACATTTAAGCCAACTTCAGAAGAGTATAATTTAGTTTATGAAAGAGAGTTGTTTCAGCTAAAACTGATAGCATATCCAAGGGTTAAAACTGAAATTATATGTGCCTTGGTTAAAAACAAAAAGAACAGAATAAAAACAAAGCCAAGGTAAAAAGGAACTAGCCAGGCTCCATCCCTTGAAATTTCTGTTAACATCCTTGAAAGTTTCACAGTGATGATGGAATCCTCTGGCAGTGGGCAAACTAAGCTTTTGTGTTGTAAGTTTTTGCTTTTTGCTTCTTTGTGGAATGTTCTTCATCCAGATATCTATCTGTATATTCAGGCCTGAGCTCAAGTGTTACCTTTTCAAGATCGTCCCTTGCCATCTTATGGAAACTTAACTTCTCTACCCCCAACTTCATCAAACATTATTACATTGTTTTAATGTCTTCATTGCACTTAATTGAATACCAGTACAACTCAGTACCTAGAATGGTGCTGGACTGTAGTGGATACTCAATAATTACTTGTTGAATGAATAAGCACTATTTTTCAAAGCAACTTCCCACTTGTGTTATATATATCCATAGGGTTACATAAATGTAGTAGGAACAGGAAACTATATTAATATATTATTTCAGTTTGGTTGGAGAGTATCTATTTCTTCAAAATTTTATAAACTTAACACCTACCATTTACTGAGTAATCACTAGATGCTAAGTATTAGAATTACTTGCAATAAAAGATTGAACTTGAATTCAAACCCTGAACTCTAACTGTAGATCCAGAGCATTTAACTGGTGGATTAGAGTGGGACTGATACTGAAATAGAATTACCCATAATGCAGTTTTAATCTCTTCAGAGCTGCACAACTGCTGTTCAAGTAGTATCCAACTTTTGGCTTACACAAAGAACAATTACTTCACCTCCCAACAGGGGTTCAAAATTTCAACCACATTCTACAAATTATCCTCAAGGCAATCCAAAATATTTCTTTAGAAATACTCTTTAGACACGCACACACACACAAATTTTTTAGCTCTAATGATAAAGGCAGGTTGGGATTTATGTTTTAATAAGAACTGCCTTGGTATTTGATTGCCAGCTATCTCTACATTTTCTCCACATAATTTTCCAAAGGGAACACAAGCCTTTTTATTTTTGGCAGACATACCCTATTTTCCATGTAACAACAGCAACAAATTAAAAAACCTGCTATACAAAATACCCACATAAAGCTTTCTATACAAAAATCTGCCTAGTACACAACACTTCTGCCTGTTATACTATGAAAATACTAGCTTCATATTCTAAAATTCAGAGAAAAAAGAAACCTGAGCATCGACATCTAATTGTTTACAAAACAGCCACCACTTCGAGTTACTGGTTCCTAGTCACACTGTCATTATTTCAACAGGTTTTAAACTTGCCTGTATATATACACACCACACACATATATACACATATGTGTATATGAAACTATTTTTCATGAAGAGGAAAACCTTTATTAAAAATTATGTATTTATGTATGTATGTATATATAGGGGGGAGGGAATGAGAATATGAGAATAAATTAATCAGTCCCCCCTCAGATATTAAGTAGATTCCTGTCAGGCACAACATACAAAATATGCTTTAAAATGCTTAAAAGTGCCCTGGCTAGTGTGCTCAGTGGATTGAGCTCCAGTCTGTTAACCGAAGGGTCACTGGTTCGATTCCTGATCAGACCACATGCCTGGATTGTGGGCTGGGTCCCTGGTGGGGGGTGCACAAGAGGCAACCACACATTGATGTTTCTCTCCCTCTCTCCTCTAAAAATAAATAAAAAATTTTAAAACAATTAAAGAGGGGGAGGCATTTAAAAAAATGCTTAAAAGAGTAATTTTAAGAAGAATGCTATATATTTCAACTTAGCATCAAGGAACACAGCCAATAACTAGAAAAAATAATGAAACAAGCAACTGGACCAACATGATAAGGTTAATTTTAGTAATCCAATTGGCAAAGGAAGAATAAAGCTTTTTTTAAAAAAGTGTTTAAAATGGTACTACATCAAATTAAAAAGTTTTTGCACAGCAAAGGAAATCAACAAAATAAAAAGACAACCCACAGAATGGGAGAACATACTCACTGATACATCTGATAAGGGGTTAATATCCAAAGTCTACAAAACTCAACACCAAAAAAACCAAACAACCCAATTAAAAAATGGGCAAAGGACCTGAACAGACACCTCTCCAAAGCAGACATACAGATGGCTAACAAACACATGAAAAGATACTCAACATCACTCATCATCAGAGAAATGCAAATCAAAATGACAATGAGATACCATCTCACACCTGGCAGAATGGCTACCATCAATAAATCAACAAACAACAAGTGCTGGTGAGGTTGTGGAGAAAGGGGACCCTAGTGCACTGTAGGTGGGAATGCAGACTGGTGCAGCCACTATGGAAAGCAGTATGGAGATACCTAAAAATATTAAAATGCATCTGTCTTTTAACCCAGAAATTGCACTTCTGGGAATATATGTGAAGGAATCCAAGACACTAATTCAAAAGAACATAAGCGTCCCTGTGTTCATTGCGTTATTTACAGTCACCAAGATATGGAAGCAGCCTGAGTGTCCATTACCAGATGAGTGGATAAACCAACCATTGGGCATTTACACAATGGAAAACTACTAAGCCTTAAAAAGAAGAAAATTTTACCCTTTTGCAATAGCACGGATGGACCTGGAAAACAGTATGCTAGGTGAAATAAGCCAGTAAGAGAAAGACAAATACCATATGATTTCACTCATATGTGGAATCTAATGAACAAACTGAACAAGCAAGCAAAACAGAGACAGATTCATAGATGGAGAGCAGATGACAGCTACTGGGGTGGGTGGGTGGTGGTGGTGGTGGTGGTGGTGGTGGTGGTGGTGGTGGTGGGGGTGGTGGAGGTGGTGTTGTTAGGGGGTGGAGGAACTGAGTGAAAAGGTAAAGAACTCATGGACATGGACAGTGTGGTAAATGCTGAGGGGAGGAGAATATAAGGGGACTAAATGGTAATGGGGAAAATACAATAAAGTTTAAATTTAAAAAGTTAAAGTGTTTAAAAAGAGAAAGTGAACATTAGCTTTCTTTCATAAACTCAGATAAGCAGAAGACTATATTCAATATTGCTAAAACCCTTTAAAGAGAAACGACCTCATGACCTCATTTAATTATTCACCAGGCCGAAATCATAGAACCCTTTCTTTCCACATTCTTCAAACTGCATTTATAATTTGAGTCTCTGTCAGCATCAGGATTTTGTCTACACTTTACTCTGTATATTGTGTATCATTCTTCTCTTTGTAACTTTACCTCCTCCACAAAAGAGACAGCACTTATAGAAAACTGCAATAAAGTGATGTCAAGTAATCTGCTTTTCCATCACTGTTTCTAAATGTTAAAATGTTCCACCTGCCCAAACCTGCCTGGATTCTATCTACCTATTCCAATAATTCTTTACTAAACAACAGTCATCTTTAAATAGGAACAACTTGAATTACCAGGCTGAAGTTCATTCATTCTATCTTTTACCAGATTGTAAGATAATAATCAGTAAAACATACATGAGAGGTAAGAATGACCAAGTCTTACCTTTATCTGTTAATTTTTCTACACATCTGAAAGAAATAAAAATAAAACATTAAATGAACAATCTTGCACACTTTCTTAAAGCATAAACACTTACACAAATTCATCTATAGCGATGAAGATAGCACCTTGTAGAATGGTGTCCAACAGAACTTTCTGCAGTGATGAAAATATTCTCTATCTGCACATACTAATACAAAGAAAATATTACTAATTTTGTTATATTAAGTGGTTCTATAATATGTTATTTTACACAAATGCAGTAGGAAGAGGTGAAATAAAATGTTTGAGATTTCCTATAAAATGCCCCTTGCCAAAAGAAAAAAAGGGAAAGGGATAGAGGTAGCAAGCATGGCAAAATCTAAATAACGGTTAAATTCAGCTAATAAACACTGGAGTTTCATTATACTATCTTGCCAATATTGCTTATATTTAAAAATCTTCATAATAAAAATTTAATGAACCTAAAAGAAAACCCTAAAACCATTCATCTGTTACACCTGTCAAAAAGTTCGTAAAAACCGTAACCTAGTTGTGATCTACCTATGAATCTAATTTCACAAATCATAAATTATCAGTTATAGATGAAAATGCAGATTTAAAGAGGTTAAGTGCCTTGCCCAAGGTCACTTAGTGAGTGGCAGAAGGCTGGGACCTGAGACAGAAGTCCTATGATTGTGCCACTGTATTATTTTGCCTTCTAATAAGAGGTTTCAGTCAATTCAATTTGCTATATTTACTGACCTTTTAAGCCACTGTACATTTTGCTGTCTCTTCAATCAAAAAGAAACTGGGAGTTTATAAGGGACAATGTTGAAATATGAAAAAAGGGCCTGAATAAGACAATTAATTAATATAGAAATTAAATTATACTTTTTTCTTCTTTAGGTTTTTTTAAAAAATTTTTATCTTATTCATTTAAAAAAATTGTACAACGTTATTAGAAAGACAGAGATGAATCAAGGTCAGAAGGTACTTGACCAGGGTTCTGAAAAACTGATACTCAAACCTCTTGAGACTTCTTAAAAGATTAACCCTTCCTACTTAGTTTTAAAATTTACTTCATCACTGTGACAATCTGTAAAGCAGGCACATGTGTTTGATCAACTTGCACTAACACTGCAAGGTCCCTGACGATAAGATCCATGATTCATTTATCTTTATACACCCTAGACCAGCACAGCACCAGGCTCAGTTACTGCTCAATCAAGGTCTACCAAGCTGAAATGCTTTAGGATTCCTTTCATTTCCAGGAGATGCAGTAAATTGAAAATGTGTAACAAAAAAAGTCATGGTGAAAATTTATTTTAAACCATCCAAACTGGCATAATTTAAAATAATCAAAAGGTAGTTCAGAGGCTAACAGAAGGTCTAAGAACAGTAATATCTTTTATGTTATTTGATGAAGTGAGGAAGAGATGCTAAGAAGCAAAACTATTCCTCCCCACAGAAATATTGTGGAGAAAAAAAATTTAAGCCCTCTTTATTCAAGTTTGATCATCCTAATATTTACATTGTAGAATTAAAAAAGTTTAGTAATTTTTGGTCAAGTCAGGGGGAAAAAATAAACCACGACAGAGGGTAAAGCTACTAGTGTAGCTATAATCATCTTAAAAGATCATTTCTGTAAGTAAAACTGTTGCAACTGAGGGAGGGAAAGGTGTCAAGTAGATAGATATATTTAACTCTCAAATGGGTAGGTATGAATAAAAGGGAATTTTGAAAACGAGACTAAGTTATTAACCTTCCTACATATGGTGATAGGACAAAAAAGTCCAGTTTTGCAGAATTTACACAAAAACACACCATTTATACCTCTTTCATGACACCACTACTCAAAAACAATAGCTTTTAATAAATATTTGGGGGTGGATGGAGGTGGAGGAGGGTATATAAAGGGGATAAATGGTAATGGGAAAAATACAATAAAAAAAAAACTATGAAAAGAATTCACTATGTACCAGGCCTTGTGCTAAGTCAGCGATTTTCAACTGGTGTGCAGCAAGCATTTTTAAAGCTTGCAATCCCTGACGAGTCAGGGGCACTGACCTCTTTTCCCTTAGGCTGTCAAATAAAAAAATGACAACAGCAACTGGTGTGAATGAATCAAAATCACACATTTTTTTACCAGATAATGAAAAAATATGCTTCTTGGTGTGTCGAAGGATATTATTAATTTTTGTGCTATGAGGTGCAAAAAGGTTGAAAATCCCTGTGCCAAGTGCTTCACACGCTGTATTTAATTGTCATAAACTAATCTCACAGGGATTAACATTGCCCTATAGATGAGGAAGCTGAGGAACAGGCTGCTTAAGAAATTCATGCAAGGAAGTTATATCCAAATAAGGCTCATATTAACTTCACTCTCAATTTTAGAACAAATGTATTATAGGTCTACTGGGACAGGTATAAACCAAATCTTGCCACACTTTAGTAGGAAAGTGGGTGACTTAAAATTCTAATTTCCCACCCCTCCTCGATTCTCTCTGCTTTTACTAGTTTTTTTTTTCACTTGAAAGTCACGAATTCAGTGGCTAACATGACTAATTTCTAGGATTTACAAATATGTGTGCTTTACAATTCTCAACATTGGAACATTATTTTAATAAACAATTTAAAGTATTTATGTTCCTATATCTTCTATTATCTCCAGGAAATAAAGAAATTCTATTCAGACTAGTCTAGTTCTTAGGGATGAAGTTCCTACGTTAAAACGGGCTATACGAAAATACACAAAAAACGTGTTACCTGGCAAAAACAAGAAAAATGAATACCCATTTAAGCTTGTTATATGAAAGACTACACTTAGCAAAATTGGCAAAGTCACGTTTTTATCCTAGTAGCAAGCGCCAGACTTCTAAAACGAGTGAAAAGTAACACAAAAAACTGGTAGCGAAAAAAGCTCCACAGAGCTATTACGGCAACTGGCTCTTAAGCAAATTAAAGTGAAGGAGGTGCGGGGAGCGACCCACTTCTGAAGGCAAAGGTCCCGTTGTTGATTTCTTAAGGGGGATGTGATGTAATACGGGAGAGCCGCCGCAGGAGGGGAAGGGATAGGCTGACAAAGGGAGTGCAGAAGCCCTAGTGCGCGATCAGCCTGCGACGGCAGGGGACCGGCGAGCCGCTAGGGAGGAGAGGTGTGCGCTACAAAGAACGATTTCACGGAGTGGGGAAGTAGCCCAACACACACAGAAACGGAGAGTAGCGATAAGACAGCAACCAGAGAAGCGCCGTGACATCAGTGGTGAGAGCCGGCAGGGGGCAGAGCAGGCAGGATGTCACGTGGAGTGGGCACTACGGCAGCCGAGAGGGTTGCGTGCGGACAGAGGGGGGTCTTTCCCACCGCCTGAAAGACTGCATTACTCACAGGAGTCGCGGACTCTTCTTGCCCTGAGCTGGAGACGGAGGCTTCGCGGCCTGGGACTGCAGCCCTGTGGCATCCGGAGGCCTGGCGCTGGGACTGCTCCTCCGCCGGCGGGGATACTCGGCCTTCCTCCGACGGGACACAGCGGCGGCGGCCGCCGCAGCGGCCCGGCCCCGGTCCCGTCCTCCCCTCAGCACGCGGCTGCTAGTGGCCCCCGCAGGCGGCGTCGCCGCCGCCCCCTCAGGGGGCTGTTGTTGGGGCTCCTCTGGAGCCGCCTTGGCCGCCGCCGCCTCTACCCCGTCCTGGTCCTGCTGTTCCGGGGGTCTCGGCTCTTCTGTCTCCCCCGGCATCGGGGCTCGTCCGTCCCCCACCCCTTCGTCCCAGGCGGTGGAGGCGGCGGCGGCGGCCGCGGCGCTGCTCCCCCCGCCCCCCTCCTCCCGGAGCGTCCTGCACACTCTCACTCGGCGCTCCACTCTCCCCCCCCCAACCCCTCCGCCCGGCTCCGAGGGCAGCCCCCGCCCCCCGCCACTCAAGGCCCCCTAGCGCGCGCGCGCGCGCCCAAGACGCTCGGCGGACCAATCCAAGAGGAGGAATGGCTCCTTCGCACCGCCCTCACGCTCTCTCACGCAGCAACGTACCCGGTTTCCTCCCCCACCCCTTCCTTCAACCAATCAGGGAACGGATCCAAGGGAGCGCGCGAGGTTTCCTTCCCCGCGTACCCGTGCTCACCGTTTAACGGCTGCGTCTCGCGACAATCCTAAAGTGACCTTTCCCCTCCCTCCGGAGTTCCACGCACACTAGGGACAGTGGGAGGGGCAGGTCTCGCGAGGTTGTTGGAGGGAGAAAAACGCACCTCTTTCCCGCCTCGCGCGCTCCCCGGTGTGGCTGCGCGCGCACCTGCCTCCCTGAGGAGCAGCTAATGCCACAAGGGCTCTTTCTTTTCTTAAGCCAGCGAAGTAGCCCCGGCGTTTTACTTCCTCCACCCCGATCCCACTTTCCTGTATGTAGCCTTTCTGTCCCCAGCGTTGCCAGGTCTTGCAGGCAGAAGGGGATATTTTTTTTTGAGCTGTCGCTTCTCCTTTAAGAAAAAAAGCCCGTCGCTTGCCGGATGAAAGTCTCTGAAAAAATGGCGGCTGTAGAACAGAGGCGGGGTCGTGAAGGCAGAGGACCCGCCTCTTCAGTGCATGCGCATGGTTAACTTGCCCAAAGGCATCCTGGGATATGAAGTCCTACTTATCCTATGGCTTTGGAAAAAAAAAAAAAAAACGAAACCAGAGGCGAGGAGGTTGCTGGGAGTTCTTGACTGATGATGAATGGGAAAAGTAGTTTAGTGTTACCACAGTCCGAGTGTGCTTTTCCCTGGAGACAGTGTTTCCGGGTTAAGACGAGACGCCCGAGCACATCCCGGCGTAAATTTTGAGCCAGTTCCCCGTCAGGATTTCCTGAGCTTTTTCTTACTTCATTTCTTGGCGTTGGGGAGCATTTCTAGGATGGTTACGTAATAACCCTTGCCTTGGTTTTGTTTAGATGGCATCTCCTTTAAACAAGCTGGAATTCGTGTCTGCAATATTCATCTCGTCACCCTGTGTCTGACCTATCAACCTGTGAGCCCCTGGAGATCAGGGACTGAATCTGGCTCTATCGGGTCCTCGGCGGCCTACCCACCAATTATTTGATTCTTAATAAAAGTTGGTGGAAGGAATTGTGGAGTTGCGTTTCTACTAGACATTCTCGAGACCAAGGTGCTGACGTAGTCTGCCTAAATTGGCTGTGATCCTTGGGCTGGAGGGAAGTTGTTAGCGTGACTAGAGTCTCCAATCCGTAGAAACTGAAGCCCTCCCTCAGGCTCCCCGCTCTGAAGTCACTTGCTTCTGCGGTTTTTAAATGTTTGTGCTGTTTCTGCTGCACAGGAAGCACAGTCAGATCAGCAGCTTTGTCAAAATTTCTTTTCTGCCCAATAGCATATGCAGCTAAATTGTCCTAATGCGATAAACGGGAGTTTCCGTTGGCTTATCTACGAGTTGCATTTGGTGATGCGAGTGGGCCTCTAGCATTCCTTCCTCCCTGTCTTTGATCCATTGTAATCAAGGAGGGATTTTTAGGACTACTTTCTCACTCCTGGAAAATAAAGTATCCGGGGGTAAAATGCCCAAAGAAAGCTGATGGAAACAAGATCTGGGAAATCCAAATTTCACATTAACCATTCAGTTAAAGCTGATCATACAGTCCAGTATTTGGATACCAAGTGCCGAAGTGCATTTTCCATTACAGCACTTTGGCTCAGTTACCACTTTATATTAGGCAAATGTTTTCTATTTTCCATTGAGTGTTTTTGCACTTTTATGGGACTAATGGCATTTCAGTAGTAAAAAATGGCACAGTGCGGATTGGAATTTTTTCAAACCCATGTTTACAGTATGCAGGCTTTTGGGACAGCACTGACATCCAATGGCTGCTCAAAGTAATGCAAAGTGGGAATCTCCATTAAAAAGTCTTCACTCACTAGGGAATGGAGAATGAATTATTTCTTTAGACCATCTTAAAAAAAAAAAAAAAAGACCACTCTGTTATACAGGAAAGTTCACAGGCTTTGAAGTTAAATGTGGATTATATTACTGTAGAAAAGTTATCTATTAATTATATCAGTTTAGCAAGTTACTATTCCTTGAATCTATTTCACCACTGGTAAAAGTGGGGTAATATCAATTTCACAGAACCATAATTATAGTTCTGTACGTACTGCCTTCCCATAGTAGGCCTTTGTAAGTGTTTTATTTTGTTCGAAGTGAATGAAACCACTGGTTCAGAAAACTGCTGTAAAGCAATGTAACTAAGCAGGAATTATGTTTAATTCAGATGTCTGCAGCTTAGCACCTGGTGTCTTAAATCTTTCAGTCTCATTTCTTCTTGACCCCTGTAGTTGTTTGCATTTTGGACTACTGAAATAAACAGGCCCCAAGAATCCAAATGTGAATATGCCTTTGCCTTATTTAATGGATTTACTATCTATTCAGAAAACCAGATAAACATAAATTTCTTGAAAGTTAAATAAAGACAGCAAAATGAATTGGGTACTGGTTAACTCTGATGGAAGCAAACCATGCCTCCATGGTCTCCCAGCTTCACAAAACAACAAAAAAGCAAGTTTTCTAATGCATAGCAGAAGTGGGATACATTAGAAAAAAACACAAGTGCAAATCTGCCATTCTCATGAATTCAGGACGAGTCCTGGCATGTAGTAGGTGCTCATATTTTTCAAAATTAATTTGAATCTTAATTGCCCTGGCCAATGTACCACCAGAATTCTGATTTCAGTACCCACCTCTCTATGTCAGTCCCATTTTAAAAATTCTGACCTACAAAAAAAAGAAAAAAGAAAAGAAACTCACCAAATCAGAAGAGAGGAAGTGCTAAGCAAATATAGGAACCAAAAAGGGTTATAGAGGCTGCTTGACGCTGTCTCATTTAGTTCCTTTGCGGTCCTCTTCTTCAGCACAGACCAAAGCAGTTCCTTACAACCTGTGGCACCACAGCATCTTCGGTGTGTGACAATGGAAGAATTAGGTGAGTGAGGAGTTTCTTGGAAGAGAAACTCTGAGGGAATAAAGACTTGGCTGCCATCTGCATCTGTGCTGGGCGTACTACTAGCCAGAAGGAGGGTAGTGCTGGAAGATTTTCACTTCTCTCCTGACCTCACCCCACTAAGAATAAAGCATGAGGAACTATGATTGTTTGGGGGAAATATAGGTTCACTGTTTCGGTGGCGCAAAAGGCAGAAAGTTTGGTGCTAACCACAGAGGAAACTCTGCACAAATACTTTTGGATTGAATGGTGATTGAAATGGTCACTTTATTATGGGCATTTGCCCCTTGGGGGCTACTGAGATCGTAGAGTGATTGATCACAGAGTAGGCAACAGCGAAGTTGTGATTGAGGGAGAAAAAGAAAGAAAAGAGTGTAATGAGAAGAAACAGAAGTACAAGAATGAAGGATTCACAAAGGTTGGAGAAAGGCCAGGGTGGTTTTGATTCATTCTGTGACTTAGTATTAAATCAAGAGGACATAGCACTGTATTTTGCTGCTCAGCTTTTTATTCAGAGAAGCTGAGGAAACAGATTACTGTGGCCTGCAAATATGTTACCTCCTCCCATTCCAAAGTAATTAAAACTAGCAGTGAAACTGTTGGCCACATTGCTCAACAGAGGTCCCTGATTTTAAATCTTCGGAGTAACTTAGGGTTTGTCATTCTTGGGAACTCATTCCATATTCTTTGCCAACATTTGTTGCTGACATCCTTATTAACATGACTAACACTAACCCAATTTCCAAGCTGTATGAATTCCACAATGTCCTGAGTTTTTGTATATTTGGGGTATCTCAAAAGCACAAACAACAACAAAAAAAGCACATCTTGCACATTCTTTTTAAAAAATTGTTTGCAGTGTAATTTGAGAGCTGGAGTTATAGAGAGAGGAAGGAGGGCAAATCAAAAAAGGAAACAGGAAAAGATGGTGTTTGATAAATATGTATTGAACTGTTTTGAAGGTAAAGTCTATTTTGACACTTAGAGTAGAATCCAAATTCTTATCCTGTGTGAGGGAGGGTTAGGGAATTTCACATTTCCATCTCAGTTCCACTAGAACTTAGCTCTGTTTTGTTTTATTTTTAGGGATATGTAATGGACTTCACATAGGTAATTAAAAAATGCACTAATACTTTTTCAGTAACTTAAGCTAAAACTAGACATTTTTACATGTTAATCATTTTAGTGTCTGAAGCAATCCTCTAAAATGAGTATTATCCACTTTTTGTGTCAAAATGAGAAAACTAAGAAAAGCAAACTAACTAGTTCAGTGTCACTCTCAGGAGCACCTGACACCAAAACGGATTAAGCTACATGTTCTGGCTGATAGAATAACCTAGATAATAAACACAGTGAATAAATAGATTTGCATAGTTTTCCATTTCTTGAGCCAGATGAATAATAGAGAAATCTGGTCCAGAACTGTGGAAAGTACCATGCAACCTGGAAAGCAACATTCCTGTAGATGATCCAGGTGACTAAACCCCAACCACTTCTTCAAATTGTCATCAGCCCAATAGTCACCCTAAAGACTTAGGGTGCCTCTGTCTTTCTGCTGCGGAGAAATCGCCTGGAGGGCAGGCCAGCACAGGCAAGCCTGTATTGCCTCTTTGTCTCCTTCATTCCGTGGGGATGCTAGATAAAGGGAAACCAGGAGCAGACTCTGGCTCGGAATGAAATCGTTACAATCCAGGGAGACCCTCAAGAGAACTCACTTGACAAATCCTTTCACATTAATACCAATAATAATTTGAGTTCCTCAGCCAAAGGGCTACAGAGAAGTACTGTAGGGTTTTCAGTCTAGTACCCACCAGCACCAGTCATTCCATGTTTGTCATACTGAAATTAGTCATCTTCAAATTACAGAATCTGGCAAAGGACAGGATAATCTTGGGGTGTTGGTGATATGTGTACTCAGAAAACAGGAAGCGTCTGTTAACTCATGACCCAGACGGGCGAGTTTCAGTAACTTGGGCTAGTGGGCCCTTCTAAGGGTGACCCTCTACTTTCAGTGATAAGGTTTGTTTCTCTTGCACAGGGTCTCCCCTCTCTCCTAATTTTGTTATAAATGACTTTTTATTTTGAATCCAAGTGGATCCATGACTTATCGTTGGGGCAAAGTTTAGAAAATAGAAAAAAGCTATATCTTAATAGAATGATGTAGACTAAAAATTTGGAACTTAGAAATTTGGCATTCAGTCTGGCTAGTAAAATTGTGAGAAAAGACATTTTACTTTATCTTTCTACCTTATTTTATTTTTTTAAAAATATTTTATTATAGAGAGTTTTAAAATTTATAAAAGTAAAGGCAATAGTTTATTGAGATCTGATGTAACCATTAGGCAGCTTAAAGGATCAAGTCCTGGCCAATCGTTTTTCTTTTTTAGACTTACCCATTTCTTTAATTTCTATATTATTTTAAAGCAATCTCAGAAATGATATAATTTCATCTGTAGATACTTCAGCATAGTCTTTAAAATAAATTTATATATTCACACAAATAACCATAATACCATTATTAAACCCACAAAATCTTTAATAATAATTCCTTAATATTATGAAATAAAATTATCACACCTAAAACATTAACAGAAGTGATCAAATATTGTTTATCATACCTAACAGTATTTACTTAATGTTATTGAATGTCAAGTCAGTGCTTAATATTCCTGATTTTTCCTCTTTTTGGTTTGCTTATTTACTGTATTTTGGCATGTATAATGTGCACCCATGTTTTTGGCTCAAACTTTCAGGAAAAAAAATCTTTCATTTTAATTTTTTAATTCAATTTTTATTTATTTATATTTAGATACTTGTTTTGTATTATAAAGGAATTTTAGCATTTATTTTTAAACATACTCTTGTACAAGAAATTTTATGTAACAAATAGTTCCAAAACACAAGAACAGATACAAGGTACAAGAAATGTTATGTACTGCTAACAAATTTACAATATTTACACATCATAGAAGGCCAAGAATTCTTCCTCAGTCAATATTAGAGGTATCATCTTCTTCAGTTTCTACATTACCAGTGCCTTCTGAAGGAATAGTCACTTTCCTCATCCCGGTAAATTTCATCATCCTTAGTTCCATCCATATCATTGCTGATGCCACATATTAAAAATGATTTTACAACCACTTCCTTCTTAACACCGTACCACAACCTTAGGATCCAACCACGAATCGGGGACGATGGATGATTTCTTGATTCTGCCTACAAGCGTTAAATCATTACCAGCTGACTGTCCACAATGTCCACTCTTTTCTTCATCAGGGCTTTAAAGGGTTTGTTTAAAGGGTTTGGTACATGAAGAGGTTGTAGTTAGCTGGTTGGTCTACCAGGTATCACAGCAAGTTGGGTTTTCAAGTCTGCTGCGATTGCTTTTGCACTTTGTGTAACATGGGCTTTGAAGTGATCAAAAGCAAGCAAAGCTGGTTTCTAAAGTAATCCTCTAGGCCTTCATGACCAGATTTTGTTAAATCAGATTTTCATGTCTTCTTCATTAATCCATCCGTTTTCATGCACAGGGACAATAACTCCACTTGGAATCTTTCCTTTCCAAAATGTTTTTCTTTTAAAGATGATCATAGATGGTGGCTTTGTCCCATCTGATTTCTAGAGTTACACTTTTAATGCATAAGCATAAATAAAAGAATTAAAAACATTTATATAGACATGGAATTAGTACTACCTATGTATAATGTGCATCCTTATTTTTCCCTCAGAAAAATTGGGCAAAAAGGATATATTATACATGGCAAAATAAAGCATTTATTTATTTTTTATCATATCATTTTAAGTTAAGATTCATATACTGAAATCAGTTATAAGTCTCTAAAGTTTCCTTGAATCTATTGGCTCACCCTCCAACTCTTTTTTTTATTACAATTTATTTTGTGGAAGGGTCATTTTCCCTGAAGAATTTAACTCAGTTTCCTTTTCTCTAGACTGGTGCACAAAATTCAATATTTTTATGAAATGGATGGTTTAGAAAGATATGTCGAATTTTTAATTAAATTTATTGGGGAGGCACTAGTTAATAAAATTATATAGGTTTCAAGTGTAGAATTCTATAATATGGCGTATGTAATCGCATTGTGTGTTTACCATCCAGAGTCAGATTCCCTTCTGTCACCATGTATTTGACCCCCTTTACCCTTTACCACCTCCTCCCACCCGCTTTTCCCTCTGGCAACCACCATACTGCATCTGTGTCTTAGAGTTTTTGTTGCTTGTTTCTTGTTTGTTCATTTGTTGCTTTCGGTTTTATATCCTCCATTTGAAAGATCTGTAGATTTTGTTGGTAAGATGTGATTAGATCTCTTCTTATGCCATCAAGAAATATCCATCTCCCCACCACCTGAAATAAATGAAAATCTTATTTTAAAAATGTGTGAAGTTCATTTTCTTCATCTGAGGACTTCAGAGCTAGGCAGATCCTTAGAAATAATATAATATACTGCTTTGCGAACTTTAAAAAAATACACCCTGTGGTAAGGAAACCATTAGAGATCCACAAATGGGTGTTGATCTACAATTGCAAAGTCTTATTGTACTATAACTGGTTCATTATCTAGATGAAAAAACAGCGTCAGAGAAGAGCACACCATGCTCAGATCGCCCAGAAAATTCACGTGAGAATGGGGCCTGGAATGTCTGACGTGAAGGTCGTGCAGGGGTTGGGGATCAGATGGCCCAGGGGCAGACAGCCGGGTTCTGAACTCAGTAACAGTGTGAACTCAAACCATTTATTTGGCAATTTCTTGATCTACAAAATAAGGATAATAATATCACCTGCCTCAAAGAATTAAGATGGCAAAATTAAATGTGTGAATGGACCACAGTGCCTATCATATATTAATTATTATTATGTTATTAATTTCATCATCACAGAAAGATAATACTTGTAGTGTCCAACAAAATACAAGAGAAATAATCTCAACTCTTTGGATCACAACATCTTGCTTGATTTTAAAATATCCTTTTTTCCCCCAATCTCCTTTTCTTCCTATACCCTAAAAGACAAAATACTTATACTTTCCTTTGAGAATTTTGTTATGTGTTTGGAGTATAAAAAAATCATCAAGGTTAAGAATAAATGTTATTGTCCTGGTATATATATATATATATTTTTTTAAACTATAATATAATTGCTTATATTTTTCTGATAGGGAAAATATGTAGAATTTACTTTAAATTTTTTTATTGTTATTCTATTATAGTTGTCCTAATTTCTGCTCCCCCGCCCTCCTCTGACAAGCCCATCCCCCCCTCCCACTCCCACAGCCAATCCCCACACTGTTGTCCATGTCCATGGGTCATTCTTCCATGTTCTTTGACTATCCCCTTCCCCTCCTTTCCACCATTATCCCCCTTCCCACCTCCCCTCTGGTTGCTGTCAGTCTGTTCCATGTTTCCATGCCTCTGGTTCCATTTTGCTTGTTAGTTTATTTTGTTCATTAGATTCCTCTTATAGGTGAGATCATATGGTATTTGTCTTTCACTGACTGGCTTATTTCACTTAGCCTTGTATTCTCCAGTTCCATCCATGCTGTTGCAGAAGGTAGGAGCTCCTTCTTTCTTTCTGCTTCATAGAATTTTATTGTGTAAATGTACCACAATGTTTTGATCCACTCATTTACTGATGGGCACTGAGGCTGTTTCCAGCACTTGGCTATTGTAAATAGCACTGCCATGAACATTGGGGTGCATAGGTTTTTTGAATTGGTGATTCGGGATTCTTAGCATATAATCCCAGCAGTGGAATCACTGGATTAAAAAGCAGTTCCATTTTTAGTTTTCTGAGGAAATTCCATACTCTTTTCCATGGTGGCTGCACCAGTCTGCATTTCTACCAACAGTGCACTAGGGTTCCCTTTTCTCCACATCTCCACCAGCACTTGTTGTTTGTCGATTTATTAGTGATGGCCATTCTGACTAGTGTGAAGTGACATCTCATTGTGGTTTTAATTTGCATTTCTCTGATGGCTAGTGATATTGAGCATTTTTTCATATGTCTAAGGACTGTCTATATATCCTCCTTGGAGAGGTGTCTATTCAGGTCTTTTGCCCATTTTTAAAAAAATTTTATTTTAATCATTGTTCAAGTACAGTTTTCTCCCTTTTAATTTTTTAATTGGAGTTTTTGTCTTCCCAGTTGAGTTGGATGAGTTCTTTATATATTTTGGAGATCAAACCTTTGTCCAATGTGTCATTGGCAAATATGTTCTCCCATATGATCAGTCCCTTTTCATTTTGATGATGGTTATAATTTACTTTTTTTCTCACTGGGGATCTTTATGAGCCATCCACCCCAAATAAATGATAAAAATTAATACCCTGCAATTAAATAAGTCAAATTATAGAGTGAGACTATGAAATTGAATGCAACTATAAGATATAAGAAACAGGTCACAGTAGGTAGAGGCCTTAAATATCTCATGGTAAAATAGACCACATTCTAGAAGTAAAATAAGAGTGGAAGAAAATATTTTAAGGAAAATAACCTTAATCTGAGAGACAAGGGAGATGAATGGAGGCACAGGGGGATATTTAAGGGGGAAGTTATTTCAGAAGACTTTCTATACTATGATTCCCTTGTACATTATGACATAGATGCTTTATTGGAGGAACTGGAACGCTCCACCCTCCAGGACAATGATGACTACTCCAACCCCAGTCCTCTTCCTGTGGACCAGCATTCCAGAAACAAGAGTAACTGTGCTGAGACTTCAGACATCCCTCCTCTTCAGGATGACACAAGCCCCTTGCCGGTAACTTCTCATTTATTGGTTGCCTTGAACATAGATATTTGAGTGTTTTTTGAAAATGAATTTTAACTTACATAAAATAATGTGAAGGACAATCATATATCCAAGAAAGAGGAAAAACATCCATCAATGATAACGTAAAGGTGTTTGGTTTTTGGAAGAGGAGGAGATTGAGAAAATCATCATAGAAGAATTAGCCTTTGAGAACTGATTTTTTTCTAATGAGAGCATAGTAATGGGGTATGCCCTAACTCATCTGGCATATTCTGATATTACTGTCAATAAGGTCACAGATCACATGGGCAAGGCCAGGTGGCAGCTCAAAGTGTTTTCAGGGTGACGTTTTAGGGTCATTACTTTCTAGGTCTTATTTTCTGCTGAATATGTTAAGAAATTCAGTTACTGGTATAGCCAGAGATAATGAAGCTCTAGGAAACCAACACAAACAAGCTAAATGCATTAAAGATAATGTATAAAAACACTAGAAATCCAATCTATTAGTTTTTGGTTACAGTTAAAACTATCAAGTAGAACAGATGCTGGGCTTTGCTGATACGTGTGTTCTCTACCTATGGATAAGTCTCCATTCACCTACTTTATAATTAGAAGGTTGCTTGATAAGAAGGAAATTAGTGTAAGAGGAATTAAGTAGATGCTCTTCATATCTGGTGTTTTTGAAGTATGATATTTGGATTTATCCTTGTATACAAGTGTATGAAATCACCAGCGGCACAGATCCAAAATTGGAGCCCATAGGTAGGTACCACCTTTAACTTATCTTCCCTCCAGCTACACACAGAGAGTTTTCAGAATGCACATTTATTTCTCTCCTAGGTAGCTATTGTCTTTGTTCTCATGCTAGATTATGGCCATAGGTCCTTAATTGGTCTGCTATCCTTGCCCCTGACATTTATTCTCAAAATAGCAGCCAGGGCGATCCTGTAATACTTAAGTCAGATCATGTAATTTTTCTACTCAGAATTCCTACCTCGTTTGGAGTAAAAGTCACAGTCTTTACACTGACTGACCTTTATGGGGTGGCCATATGGCTTAGTTCATTTTGAGCCAAGAGCCCTGGGTTTATGCTCATGTGTTTGTGTGTTTGTTTGTTCGACATCCATTTATTGGCTTTACCTTTTGTCCCAGGTTTTTCATTTTTTATAAAGCTTTCTTATTGGAATTTATACTAAAGTAAAACAGCATGGGTTGATAAACATCCATTAGGTTCTTCTGGGCTTCCTTTATGGTCTCAAGTAGTAGTATTTAAAACACATATACAGTAAACAGAGTTCTTATTTTATCATGGGTAAATCTAAAAGATGACTAATGTTAACTCCTTTCTCTTTTCCTGATCCTGTTCAGACAAAACCTGACAGTGCCCTTAGTGTGCAATGTCCTGGTTGTTAAAGCTAAGAGTTCAAGCACAGCAGTCAGGGCCAGGTAATTTCTCTGGTCTTAGGTTGTGGTAGGAAAACTTTTGAAGTTTTTTCTCCTGCTAGCCACTTGTTATACCACCATTCACATCTTACTATGTTCCCCTTGGTGGCCTCTGAGATGCCCGAATTCTCCTCAGGGTCATAAAGAAAAATGAGAAACTGTGGTTTAATGTTATACAAGTTGTAAATTCTGTTTAAGAAACAAGAGACTATGCATGCTTGCCATAGACTGTGGTGTCATCTAAATGTTTCTGGCAAAGCAGCTTTGTCATTAATTGTATGTATAAAACTATAACTATTTGTTTTATTATTTGCTAATACTTTTAAATTTTGCCACAAACACGTTTAGCAGCATTTGGCTCAAAACAAAACCAAAACCAAAGTTACATGTTTAATTTTTCAAGAAAGTTGATGATGAATATGTAATTTGCACAAAATATTAGTCAACATTTACTGTCTGCCATGGAGATAAGTAGAGATAGCACTGTCCCTTTGAAAACTAGAAGACACAGATATGAATAAGAAGCTTTAGCATCTATTTTAAAAGTTTAGCCCTGGCTGGCAAAACTCAGTGGATTGAGCATGGGCATGCAAACTGAAGGGTCGCCGGTTCGATTCCCAGTCTAAAGCACATGCCTGGGTTGCAGGCCAGGTCCCTAGTAGGCAACCACACATTTATGTTTCTCTCCCTCTCTTTCTCCTTCCCTTCCCCTGTCTAAAAATAGATAAATAAAACATTTTTTAAAAGTGTAGACTTAATTTAAGAAGAATGTACACAAATGTGATGATTTAACATGTATAGCTGCAAAAGGTATGTTTACATGTCACTATAAAACATACCTTTCCATTTGGGTCAAATGACTCTTCTAAATTAACCTTGCTCATTTTCAACTCCAAGTTTGTGTGTGTGTGTGTGTGTGTGTGTGTATTCTTGAAAGTAAACTGGTGATTATTAATGAGTTGATTCCGTTTAAAAACCAACAGATAAAGTCAGATTTATATCAGTATCATCAGAGGCTTCAGTTAGAGAACTTGTTAACTCTAACATGGTTTCATTTTTTCATCCAATTCAAAGGATCAAAATAAAGTAGAAGTGCATTCTTTTGTCAAAAATGAAACATCTGACATTGTTAACACCATTGTAAGTTTAGTTGAAAAGTTCAACAACAAAGATAAACTGTTGTTTTTGTGAGGGGGGATGAATACAAATTTTGGTGGAGAACCACATTGTGGTAACATTAATGTTCTTACATACTAAAAAAGCCTGTGGAGCAGAAATGTACTTTGAATTAGTTGTGATGTGCACAAAATTTATGAGTGCATCCAAACAAGCTACAAAAATTCTACCAATCAAAAAATACAAATATTATATATATACAAATCAGGCAATATATAGATACAAGTATCACCAACAAAATTTCTGTGACAGAAGCCAATATTGAATCCCAAAGTATTTCAGCATGGCAGTATGTATTTTCTCTGTATTGTCTGTCATCAATTAGATTTTAGAAATGCCTGAGGCTTTGAAAAATCATTTCATAAAGCAACCTAAAGTCAGGTCACAGTATGTGCAAAATCCATTGGAAATATTTAATCAAATATTCAATGAATGTAGCATAAAAATTCAGCTTTTAGCAAGTTGCAATTATATAAAAGAAAGCTTGCAAAAAGGAAGAGGCTCAAATTTCTGCCTACAAAAGCCAAAGAGGAGTTGAACAAATTAAAAGGTGAGAGCTCAAATGGTTTAATTCCCTAATTTGAAAATTGTGCTTTAGAAAAATCTTGGTTTCGACAGAGCTCCTCATTTTAATTGGATAAATTTATATTCTCCACCAGAATGGGATGAAATTGTGAAGGCCTATGATTCTGCAGAATCTACATTTGATGAAATATTAAAAAGGATCACCCACAGAGACAACTTAAGAGGTCTGTCTTATAAAAATATTATTGAAGAAAGATGTTTTGAATGTAGGTAGAAATGCAGCACCTGTGAAAATTTGGGGACTGAAATATTTACACATTTTGATGTAAAAAACAGAATTGAGAATATCCTCCATTTAGCAGGATTTTGTCTGGATTTATAGGTTCATCAGCATCTAGAGAGACTGCTTTCTCAACTAAAAGAGTATGGTCTACAGAGAAATATCTTTCAATTAAAAGTGTCAATAATTTCAAATATATTAACCAGAAAATGCAGCTTTGCAGAAGACTGCAATTTAAAAAGTATATGAAAACAAATAAGATCATATTAAAACCTTCTTGAGAAAAAATTCTATATCACAACGTTAGAAACAACAATGGCTAAGTAACCAATTAAGTTAAGGTATGTGAACCTATCTATATCAAGAATAATAATTTACTTGTGCTATTCTTAAATGTTCAAATAGTCAATAGAATAGTCAATAGAAAATTCTTAAAAATAAGAATTTTTTTTGCTTTGATATTCATAGGTATGTGTCATTCAAAAATATTCTAGAAAATTTTACTTTGAAAGTAAGTTTTGGATAATTATTTTGTAGTTTCACCAATATAATGAAACCAAATTTTTGATCAATAAATACATGTTTTTAAAATTAATGAGCAAAATAGAACCAGGGACATGGAAATAAGGAACAAACCGACAGTAACCAGAGGGGAAGGGGGAGACGGATAACAGGGGAAAGAAGGGGAAGGGTCTAGTCAAAGAGCATGCATAAAGGCCCCATGGTCATGGTCAGCAGGGTGGGGACTGACTGAGGGAGCAGGGTCAGGGGCAGGGCAGGGGAGAGCAATGGGGGGAAAATTGGGACAACTGAAACTGAACAACAGTAAAAAACAAAATAAAATGATAAATTGTTTTTAGTAGCCCTTTTCACTCTCAAAAGTGTTGCAGCTTGAACAATAAATTATCCATCCGGTCACTCTACCTGTGTGATCTGGCCCCTTTTACTCTTCACCCCTGTCTCCCTGGTTCACTCTTCCCAGGCCACTCTGGCCTCCTTTCTGCTCCCAGATGCCCCGGGGTGCCCTCTCCCTGCCATCCCTTCCACCTGAACCAGGTTACCTCGGATACCCGCAAACTTTTCTCACCCCCCCATCAGTCCTTGCCCAAGAGCCCCCTTTTCAGTGAGACATTCTCTGGATTGTTTGCTTGTTAATTTATGTATTTATATTTAAAATTTTTTCAATTGCAGTTGACATTTAATATTATATTAGTTCCGCGTGTACAGTAGAGTGGTTGGACAATTATGTAAATTATGAAGTGTTTCCCTCAATAAGTCTGGAACCCCCCGGCACCATAGGTAGTTATTACAATAGTATGGACTGTATTCCCTGTGCTATACCTTACATCACCATGACTCTTTTGTAACTGTCCTTTTGTATTTCTTTTTTTTTAGGTTTTTAAATAAAAAAAATTAAAATGACAGTTTATATACAATATTATTTTGTATTAGTTTCAGGTGTACAGCATAGTAGTTAGACAATCATATACTTGACAAAGTGTTCCCCTTGATATTTCCAGTACCTGTCTGACACCATACGTAGTTATTAGAATGTTGCTGATTATATTTCCTATGTTGTATTTTACATCTCCATGACTATTTTATAACTACCAATCTGTACTTCTCAATCTTTTTCACTCAACCTCCTAATCCCCCTCCCTTCTGGCAACCATAATTCTGTTCTCTAGCCACGAATCTGTTGGTATATTGTTCGTTCATCTATTTTCCTCTTTCCATTCCACATATAAGTGAAATCATATGGTATTTGTCTTTCTTTGGCTGACTTATACCCTCTAAGTCCATCCATTGTGTCGCAAATGGTAAGACTTCTTTTTAGTGGTGATCAATATATTTATAATTGCCATTTCTTCTGCATTTCCTATCTCCCTCCCCTGATTAATTGTACACATTAATTGATTTAGTTTTTACATATTAATTTGTTTATTATCTATTTCTCACAGTGTATGATCCAGGCTAGACTGTTCAGTTATTTTTTTATTGTTTTCTTTTTGACTGCTCCATCTCTAGCCCTGACACATGACACAGACACTCAATAAATATTTGTTCAACAAATAAGTGAGTTGCTAGCCAGCTATCCTTTACAGTCACACATTGTTTCTTTTGGTATGTTAAATTTAATTGTGTTATGGTTTTCCCCTATAAAAGGGCTTTACTCTGACTCATTTCCTATGTTTTATACTTTCTATCTGAGTGCTTCTCTGTTTCAGTGCTTTTAGGGCAGGGAGAGGGCCACTCTCTGTTCCCATGGCAGCTACTCTGCTTAGAACTTGGCCTTTCTCTGTGGGATGGCTGGTATTTCTCTGCCTTGTAAAAGGATATCTCAGAGATACGCTAGTGAGCAGTCCCCTTCCGAAGCTAAAAGCGTTCTCTAATTCTGGTTGTAGATAAGCACCAACATTCTACTAACAAATTCATTCTCCGTCCCTCTGTCTTAGGCACAACTTGTGTACACTACTGAGATCGAGGAGCCCAATATATACAGGTATTTTTTAAATTATTACATACTTGAAAAAATAAAGTCATTAAATAATTGTTACCGGTCTGTGTTTGGACAATAATTTGCTTGGAACTCCTACTGCCCTCCTCTCCTTTCCATAGTCTTTGAGCAGAGGTGGAATTCTGCCAAGCTGGTGGGGCAATTTCTCCATAGGCCCTCTAGATGGGTGTCCCAGCTAATGGGCTCTGCTGTTCCCTTCACCACCTGAAAAGGTGTAAGTAGTTTAAATCATCACAGATGTTCTGGCCTAGGTATTCCAGGTCACAGAAGAGAAAACACCACATGAAATTTCAGCAAAATGTTCACAAAATCAGAGCTAGTGGGTCTCTTTGCCTAATGAATGTAGACTTCTTCTTTCCATATTTGCTCAAATGTATTTAGTGGATAGGGGGATTACCTTTCAACCAAAGGTACAGATCGAAACAGATTCATTTACTAAATAATTTCTACTGGCTGAAGTAGAATCGATAATCTGAAAGAAATAAAAAGGCTACATTCTTTGCTCTCTCTTCAGTTATTGCTTGCAATTAAAAAAAAATCAGACAGTATTCTGGGACACAACATAAAAGGCTTAAAATGTAGATAGCGAAGGCTCATGCTTGGTAAAGAGTACTGCACCACGTCTGATTTGGCTTCATAACTGCAGCCAATAGCGCACATATGATGCCAAAATTAGGAAGGGACCTATGGTATCAAAAAGTCTTTGTATAACTTCCCACTTTCTACTTTGATGGGAGGCAGGCCAATTTATTATTACAGTCGCCAGTTTATTCCAGTTCCAGGAAGTTGCCTGGTGGGCATGACCCCTACACCTCCCAGTTCACCCTCTTGTGAGAAAAAGCAAACAAAGCAAAACAACAGTAGCAAAACAGTGCCCAGCACACAATAGGCTCATAGTAAATATTTGGCTTTTTAAATCCAGGAAGCCAAGACTACATCTCCTTTATGGCTGCAGCTGAAGCAAAACAGGCTGGATATGGTTCCAGTTTGTGCCTGTTGACCGGGGCCCCTGGGCTCTGGTCACTTTGCCTCTGGCCTTGTGCCTTCAGCCTAATGACATGGCTGTGGCTGATCTCTGAGTTCCCTCAGTGTCTTCTGTTTGCTTTTTAGCTCTCCCATCACCTGTGTAATCGTATTTCTGGATTAAATGCCTTTTGTTTACTCACCATGCTTGTATTTTTTTCCGAATGGACCTTGACTGACACACTTCCCATCACTGAATGATACGTTCTGTGTAGACCTTATGGGAGAGTGAGACAAAATCCAGGTGACCTAGTAAATACGCAACAGAATGATACAAATCCCTGAGGCTGGTATAATTCAGAGCAGACAGGCTGTCTAGTACAGATAGAACATAAGACTCAGAAACCAGATTCTTACAGTCTGTGTCCTCCATTTCCTCTGATTTGCTTAAACGAAGCAAACATCGGCTTTGGACCTTGAAAGTATATTCAACACCAGTTGTGAATATAACAATGGAATAATATTTCTTTTTTTTAAAGATTTTTATTTACTTATTTTTAGAGAGGGAAGGGAGGGAGAAAGAGAGAGAGAGAGAAACATCAATGTGCGGTTGCTGGGGGCCATGGCCTACAACCCAGGCATGTGTCCTGACTGGGAATCGAACCTGCGATGCTTTGGTTCACAGCCCGTGCTCAATCCACTGAGCTACGCCAGCCAGGGTAGGATAATATTTATAATGTAGTGATATATGAGAAGCATTGTGACCAATAATTTAGAAAGTATATTTTACATGCACAAAAATAATTTTGGTAAGAAGAGGGAGAAACAATTCATAAAAATATTGCAGAGGAAAAGAAGGGGGGTGGAGAAATCCAGCACAATGAAGCCTCTCACTTGAGAAGTCTGAATTCTTTTAAACACATCGTTTGTGATTTATATTATTAAAATGTCTGAGAAGTGAAGTAAGTTGTTACTGATGGCATAGCAAATCACCCTTATGATTTTCAAGAGGTCAGGGGACAAATCCAAGGTTGCTGTAATGATGCAATCATCAGCCCATTTCTTACTAATAATGTTATATTGTTGACTCTATTACTAATAAGTTATCATGACGATGATTTACTTCCTTTTACACACTGCACTAAGAGTCTAGTTGAAAGCCAGTGAGAATTCTCTGAATAAACACACGAATGCCCCAGCTGTGAGACGGACAGGTTTTTAGGATTATATGAACCCATGTGAGAAACTGCATTCATCCTCCCCTGGGGCACAGGGTAGCAGAAATTGTTCACAGTCCAGCTGCCCTTTGTGCCTCCAAGACACACCCTGTGGCAGCAATTACTGAGGGATTATGTCTGAAAAGAGTTGCGAGGGTGACCTCCTCTGCACTCTTCTTGGAAACCTCCAAGGACTGAATCAGCCACTTGTATACCTGACCGCGTTTGTTCCCAGGTTAAAAAAAAAAATCTCATGTCTCCTTGGAGACCATGTTGTACTTAAAAGACAAGGTCTTTCATCTCAAGAGGAGAAGGTCCACTTTCCTCCTGCTTTTTCCTTGTTGTTAAATTCTCAAACATAGGTAAGTCAGTAGTGGGACATGCACCCAAGAAAAGGTCTTGTTTTTCTTAAGAGAAAAAGAGATACATTTTCCTTCTGCTTTTTTCCTAGTTGGTGAATACATAAAATAAGTAAAGTAGAAAATGTATGTTTTCAGTGTAGAAAATACATTTAGTGAAAGATTTAGAGTATTTCGCTGTGTGTGTATGAGAGAGACACACACACACAGTCAGTTTGGTGGGTGGTTAGCTGAACTCCCTTGATTAATGTGGGTTACAAATATGACTTGGTTCAGTTGCCCTCATGATCCAGTTTTTCCACTTCTCAAAATTTACTCTATCAAAATAATCAAATATGGGTGCAAATATTTATTTTGCAGTACTGATCACAGCAAAAATCAGACATAGCCTGGGTGTCTAACAATAAATGATTGGTTTAATAAGTCATGGCATGTTGTACCTTTGAAAACTACGTAGCCTTTAAACATCATTTGGAAGATCGTTTACCACGGTGAGGAAGGGCATACACTTTGCAGTTTGTAGGCCCAAACTCTGTTATTCACATAGAGCAAAATCTTACCTTCCCTAAGCCCTAGTTTTTTTTTTTCCTGGGAGTGACAGTATCTCACTCTTAACGTTGTTATGAGGATTTAAAGAAGACACGTGTGAAACCCCTTTACAGAGGGCCTTGCTCAGTGTAAACAATAAACGTTAGCTATCATGGTTGCAAAGGACAGATAAGGATGTACATAAGGGTATGGAAAAACATCTACCTTCAATAACAGGAATGGTGGTTGAACTTGTTTTTCAACTGCTTTTCAGCACTTATAAATGTGTTTTTAAAGTGTTTCTCTTATGCATTGCTATAATGCACTATATTAATCCATTTGATAATGCTGAACCATCCTTGTATGACTAGTATAAACACTACCTAGCTATGGTATTTTTCAATATACTTCCACTGTTTTTACTTATGATTCTTTCTCTCCTCTCCTCTCCTCTCCTCTCCTCTCTGTCTCTCTCACACACACACAATTGTGCAAGTGTTTGAATAGAATCTGTATTCTGTGTCTTGGGTCCCAAATTTTATTTATTAATAATTGGTTCATAATTATATAGCTTTAAAATCAACATCATGTACATTATCCAAATGCTATCATGGGTTGGCACACTTTTTTAAAAAAGATTTTATTTATTTTATTTATTTTTAGAGAGGGAAGGGAGGGAGATAGAGATAGAAAGAGAAACATCAATGTGCGGTTGCTGGGGGTCATGGTCTGCAACCCAGGCATGTACCCTGGCTGGGAATCGAACCCACGACACTTTGGTTCGCAGCCCGCGCTCAATCCACTGAGCTACGCCAGCCGGGGCTGGCACACTTTTTTTGTAAAGGACAAATAGTAACTATGTTAGCTCTGTGGCCCATAAGGTGTCTCCCTGTCGCAGCTGTCCAGCTCTGTAGGAAAACAGCTGCAGACAGTACGAATGGACATGGCCAGATGTGGTCGACACACCTCAGTTTATGGATGGATACCTGTTCTATGTTCTCATTTATTTTTTGTCTCTCACCTGATAACAACTGAGACAAGACTGAATACTTTAAAATTTAAAAAGAATGCTACTAAAATAAACACACACACACACACACACATTTGGGCCACAGTCTTAAAGCACTTTCCAGAGTCCACTTTGCACCTGGCTGTTGGGTCTGAATGGCCAGCCAGGTACATGCCCAGTGCTTTTCTTCATGCGCTTGAAGAAAATAATAGTCAGTTTTGGAGATGAACAGAGGGAGACATGGAGATACATTTTTAGTCTAGTACCTGTATTTTAAAATAGTCTCTGTCTTTAGTTTTACTGACATCTAAGTGTTTAATAGTTAAAACTGCATTTTCCGGTATTTTATGTGTGGCTTAACATTTTTTGAGTTTTGATGTGTTAGTGTGATTTTTTTGTTTTCCCCCTATAGTGACATCGACGAACCAAAGGAATCACCAACACCTTCTAAAACATCAGCAGCCGCTCAGCTGGACGAGCTCATGGCCCACCTGTGTGACATGCAGGCCATGGTGAGCATAGTCCCTGTGGCAAAGCCTTCAGGTTTATGTCTTTGGAACTCACCTCTGCATTCCCCCTGGAGGAACGCTTCCAAGTTATCATTTCTTTTCCCAGACTAGATTTAATTTGTTGGATGAGTTCAACTTTGTGCTATGTATTATCTGGACACAGAAGACATTACGATCCAGGCACTGATCTCAAGGAGCTCAGAGTGTGCTTGGTAAATAAAATGAGGCATAAGCCTCTGTGACGTTTGTAGAATGAAAGACAAGGTGGTTTATCAAAATATGTGGAGCAAACATCAGGAATGTAGAAGGTCAGGGAGATTTCATCAGAGGCGGGCATGGGTGTGGGACAGAATCTGAAGAATGGGAAGGGTTTGGACGAAAAGAGATGAGAGCTGCGGTTCTTCTAGCTGGAGTGAACGCGGAGGGCCTGGGCCTTCGGTGCCAGGTGAAATGTGGCAGGACTGTTAAGGGGACCTGCGCGAGCAGGACAGAGGAGCGTGGTGGGCAAGCTGGGGCAGAGCAAGGGAGATCGAGTGTGGCTTTCACAATAGGAAGCATGAGGAGTCCTACGCCCCACACTGAGATGAAACCCTTGTTTTCCTAGCCTCCAGAGCGTGAGTGGTGAGCTCAAGTGGCCTGGCAGGGAATGGAAATTGGATAAATGGGCTTAAGAATTTATCAAGGGAAATAGCACCTAGAATTCTTAAGGTAGACAATACAACCACTCGAAATTGGCTGGAGGATGTGATACACACAAGTGACTAGGAGATGATTTCAAGGCAGTGTATAAAATGTGTGCGATTGGCGAGGGTAAGAACCTCACCTTTGCGGTTCACGGTTGGACTCCCGACTCCCAGCACAGTTCCCGACACACTACGAATAAAACATACGTAGCAGGGGGACAAGTGAATAAATGTCAGAAACAAGTTTCTTTAATGTCTACAGTAAAGCTGAGTGTATACTTCATCGCGCTGTATATCTGGGAATACGAGGAAAAAATCTACATCAGGTTTAATTGTGTGGTGTTTTCTGATTGATTTAACATGTACCTTGCTTTATTTACGTTTTAGCATATCTGTTTGTTTTTTAAATTAATTAATTAATTTTTAGAGAGAGGAAGGGAGGGAGAGAAACATCCATCGGTTGCCTCTTACAAGCTCCTGACTGGGGACCTGGCCCACAGTCCAGACACGTGCCCTGACAAAGAATCAAACTGGCAACCTTTGAGTTCCCAGGCCAGCACTCAATCCCCTGAACCACACCAACCAGGGCTGTTTATCTTTTCAACAGGCCATACGTTCACATGGTACAAAAATCAGAAGGACAAACGTTTGCAGTGAACTGTTTTCTTATCAGCTCTGTTCCTAGCTATTCAGTCTTGTCCCCGGAGATAGTATTTCCTGTTTCTTCCATAGCAAATAAAGAAGCAAATAGAAACAGATGTAAATACGGAGGTAAATATAGATATACTATTGTGTTTTCACTTAGTTATTTTTCATACTTAATATTGGTCACCTTTTAGACCTTTAGGCCTTTTAGACATTAACCTTTTGAACAGTAATCTTTTCAACATTAACTAACATCGTATAAGAGAGGAGGAAGGAAATCTGTCAGATGATAAAAGTTCCTTGAAGGGAAATGAGCACTTTGGATTAGTGAGATACTGTGAGGTTGTTCCTGGCAGTGAAAACAGGATAAGAGGAGGCCTGAAGTCAGACTGTGACGGATCCCATTCAGGGGACTGCAGGGGAGCTCGCTGGTCTTAAACACTGGACGCTTTTTTAAAAAAGATTTTATTTATTTATTTTTAGAGAAGGAAGGGAGGGAGAAAGAGAGAGAGACATCAATGTGCGGTTGCTGGGGGCTGTGGCCTGCAACCCAGGTATGTGTCCTCACTGAGAATCAAACCTGTGACACCTTGGTTCAAAGCCCGTGCTCAATCCACTGAGCTACACCAGCCAGGGTTAAGTGGATGGTTTTTGCTGAGCGATAAAAGATGAGATTGGAGAGGTACAGTGAGGGCAGTGGATGGGAGCCTCTGTACGTCTGTGTGATGTGTGCAGATTTGATGCTGGAAGCAATGGACAGCCATTGTGGTTTTCTGATCAGGAAATATTAGAGGGTAGCAACGGCTACAGTTAGAAAGGAGTTGAGAGAGATGGAATCAGAACTTGAGTTGATGAAGGATAAATTGGGGATCTTTTCTGTAATCTGAGGCTTCTTCTTTGAGTGTTTTATAATAACTATTTTGGAACTTTGCTTCCATAACTACCATCCATCAGCAAGTCTTTTTTTTAAGATTTTATTTATTTATTTTTAGAGAGGTAAAGGGAGGGAGAAAGGGAGAGAAACATCAATGTGTGGTTGCCTATCGTGTGGCCCCCACTGGGGACCTGGCCGGCAACCCCAGGCTTGTGCCCTGACTGGGAATCGAACCTGTGATGCTTTGGTTCGCAGCCCGCGCTCAATTCACTGAGCTACACCAGCCAGGGCAGCAAGTCTTATCTGACAACTTCTTACCACTTTCTCTGTTAACACTGGTCCCAGTCATTTCTGGTTTGAGCCGTAAAAATAGACTCCCACCTGACTAGTACTTCTAATTTCCCTCTGTACTTGATTTCTCACTCAGCTACCACAGGAATTTTATGAACCAGGTTCTTTCACTCTCGTGCTTGAAACCCTTCCATGGCTCTGCCACCCTTGGAATAAAACCCGGGCTTTGATCGTGGTGATCTTTGCCTCCCATCCCCACTCTCTGTTGCCCCACTCAGTCTCACTCCCTCTTCTCGGGCCCCACTGACCTTTCCTACCGTTTTTCTGATTACCAAACTATTTCCTTCCTCTGGGCTTCCCCTCCCTCTGGAATGCTTTCCTCACAAATATCAACGTTTCAGGTCACTAAGTACGTCACTCAAATACCCCATCCTTGGAAGTCCTTCTCCAGCCACCCTCATTTTAATCAATTCTTCCTCACCATCCCACCCTCTGTCGCTTTTATCTTGATGTGTATAACTTATATCTCATTTCTATCTGAAATTTTCCATCACATATTTATTTGGCTTAATTGTTTATTGTCTCTCACCCAGGGAATATAAACTTCATGAGGGCAGACACGTGGCTGCTCTCACACACTGTCTCTCCCAAGAGCCTAGAGCAGGTATTGGCACAAGCTAGGTACTCAATAAATGCTACAAATAAATGAATAGCAAGAAGGTTCTTACCTGTAGTCGTTACAAAGGTCAGAAAAAGTATTATCTTAATCTATTTAATTTCTGCTGGTCAGAAAAAGATTTACAAATGAAGGGAGATCAGTCAGATTGCATTTGGCTTGAGGAATTTGGAATGAAAAAGAGATGAAGGCGTTTGTATTGGGGTTACACTGTTGTACCCTTCCATACCTTGGAGGAAGGTCCAGGAAAGACTAAAGGGTCAGTCAGGAGAGGTGAGCTTACAGGGTCACAAAGAAGAGGCTCTGCTTCATGGATAAATGCCCACGAGGCTGACTCTCTTCATGGTTCTCTCTTCGCTACCAGGTTGCAGTGAAAGCAGAGGCCAGCAAGAAGCACTTACCAGAAAAGCAGGATGACAAGGCTTCCCTGGACTCCATGCTGGGGGGTTTGGAGCAGGAATTGCAGGACCTTGGGATTGCCACCGTGCCCAAGGGCCACTGTGCTTCCTGCCAGAAACCCATCGCTGGAAAGGTGGGATGCGCCAAGATGATGGTCCTACAGCAGCCATCTGTGTCTCTGTGTGTGTCTGTCTCTGTCCCAGCAAGGACTGCTCTTTCTCCTTATATTCTAAGACATTCTAATAATAGTTAATAATTACCGACCACTTACTGTAGTCTGGGCACTGAGCTAAGTGCTTTACAAGTGTTCCTTCATTCAATGGTCACATTAGTCCTGAAGGGAGACTCTGTTATTGTTCCCTTTGTAAAGATGAGCAAACTGAGGGCTTAGGGGAAGTTAACAGACAGGTCCCAGGCCTAGTGAGAGGTTAAGCTAGGATTTGAACCCAGGAGAGTCAAACTCCTGAGTTTAAGCCCTTACCCTTTGTTCTGTGCTGCCTTTACTCCTAGTTTAAATAGATTGCCTACAATTTTTAGCTGCACTCAGCTCCAAAGCATAGCCAATAACTGCTGCTCTGCATCATTCTCCACCAAAACCGTAACAGGGCTTTCAAACCTGACTCTGCATGAGGCGTGAGGTAAGGCGTTCATACCAGAGGAATAAAAACTGTGCTTTGGCCTTTTCCTCTTCCAGGGATCCCTTCCATGCCAAGACTGTAGCTATCTGTTGTCTCTCACCACTGTGCTCTATTTTCGTGCTTCCACTGCCTGGGGCAGCATCGTGGTAACGAGCATTTACAGGATTTTCTCAGCCTGAGCAGTCAAGAAAGTGGGCACCCTTTTTCTCCCCATAGAGCATGGAGAACAAACCTCATAGGTAGGACCTAGGTCCAGGCCTCAGTGTTGTGTAACTCCAGGGGGTGTCATTTATGGGGAATACGGTGTGAAGCGTGCCCACCACAGACGTGCATCCTGCAGGCCCTAGAGAGCCGGCCCTCCTGGGCTCTCACGCCAGGCTTTGTTTCATCCTCCAGGTGATCCATGCTCTAGGGCAAGCGTGGCATCCAGAGCACTTCATCTGCAGTCACTGCAAAGAGGAGATTGGCTCCAGGCCCTTCTTCGAGCGCAGTGGCTTGGCCTACTGCCCCAAGGACTACCACCATCTGTTTTCTCCACGCTGTGCTTACTGTGCGGCTCCCATCCTGGACGTGAGTCAACCCCTCCCCCCTGCTTTCCTGTAGTTGTTGCTCACTCGTGTGGAACCAGGGTCATGGCTCTACACTCACTCGTGTAGAACCAGGGTCGTGGTTTGCAGCTCTGCGGCATTCTAGCATCTCTCTCTGTGTTCCTTTTCCAGAGAGTGCTGACAGCAATGGACCAAACCTGGCACCCAGAGCACTTCTTCTGCTCTCACTGTGGAGAGGTGTTTGGTGCAGAAGGTACGGCCGGGGTTCCTTGACCTGCCTTCCTTGATCTGGAATTGGGTTTCTGCCTGGGTTGTCTGGGTTTCTGCCACTACCACCCCCGTGCCCATCTTAGTACTAGATGCCATCCTTCCCTACCTTTTCCCAACATTTAAGGATTTTGTTTCAATCAAATTACTATAATCCAAGAAATATGAATGTCTAGTTTAAAAATGCAAACATTACTCCAAGGGTAATATTGAAAATGAATAGTCCCCTGCTCCTATCTTTCTCCACCCCAAATCTGCTTCTGTCTTAATTTTTTTTAGCTTTCTCTTTTGTTATTTACTTATGTGTTTTAAATGATATATTGCCATAAGTTGACCACCCCCCGCCCCCCCAAATTTGAATCAGTATGTATTCACTTTCTACCAGAGAAGAGGAAGATTTAGGAATGTTATTCCTATCCCATCTTACCCCCAACATATTTCCTCTCCCCCATTTTCTCAACATAAATTAGATGGTAATTGCAGGTCAGATCAGTATTCACTGTGTACATGTAGATGACCACGTAAATATTGCTCACATTCGGGCCAGGCAGCAAACTGTGATGGTAGCAGAACTTGGATTTGGGAGTCAGACTGCCTGGTTCAAATCTGGGCTGCGGTAGTTGTTAGCTCTCTGATGCCGTTCAAGTCATTTAACCTTTCAACCTTTCTGTATCTCGCTTTCCTCCTCAGTAAAATGGGCCTAATAACAATGCTTACCTCATAGAGTCCTTATGAGGATTTTAAGAGACAATACCAGTATAGTGTTTGTAACAGTGCCTGGTACATGGAGACATAATAATAATAATTATTATTATCACGGTGCCCTTTTTTGTATAAAATAATTTTTTCCTGAAGGTAATATTTTGATCCTTTTTCTCATTAACTTAATTTTTATTATACTTATCACTAATTTTTCAGACAGAACTGTGAAATCCTTCTCAAAATGGTCAACCACATGTAGTGATAGGTCAGTTCCATTTGTTCTTCCTTGTAGACATCTGTCTAGGAAACTTCCATGTTCCTGCTCCAGGCTGAAATGGTTTCTCCTCAGGCCGACTGAGGAACAGTTATTTCAGGTCATTATCTTGGGAATTCCTTTTACTGTTTTCCTCTTTGGGTCCTCTGTTTCCTGGATCTCAAGCCTCTTAATACATGTTACTGTCTTTATTTTGGTGGAGCACACCCTTTAGTAGCCCCTGAGAACAGGATAGGGGGTAAAACTTTTAAGACCTTGAATGTCTGAAAATATATTTGTTCTGTTGTCTACTTTAAATTGCCTGGGTAGACAATTCGAGGTGGAAGCTACATTCCCTCATATTTCTGAAGATTTTGCTTTACCATCTTCCAGCTTCCACGGTTGAGAAGTTTTTATTAAAATTTTGTTCCTATTCCTAATCCTTCCTATGTGATCTGTTTTTCTCTCTTTGCATGTTTTTTCCGTTCTGTTTTCTGAATTGTCTTGATTTTTTCCTGACTTCTTTTTATGTTTGTTTTGAACAAATATGACTCACGCCTAGAATCAGAAAGCTTCTTTATCTTGCTTTCTGCTGTCCTTTTGGAATGAACTCAGTGGGGAATGTTTTCTCCTCTCTCCTAAATAAAAACTCAGGCCGCCCCATGTCTCTTGTGATTACTCTTTTATTTTCTTTAAAAAATTTTAAATTAGATTTATTAGGGTGATGTTGGTTAATAAAATTACATAAGTTTCAAGTCAACAATTCTGTAACACATAATCTGTATAATGCTTTGTGTGTACTTACCACCCAATTCCAGTCTCCTTCTGTCACTGCATTTTTGGCTCCCTTCACCCTCCCTCCACCGTTTCCCTCTGGTGACCACAATGCTGTTATCTGTGTCTGTGAGGTTTTTCGTTTGTTTTTCTTGTTGTTCTTTTGTTGCTTTCTGTTTTATATCCCGCATATGAGTAATATCATGTGGGTTTTGACATTTTCCACCTGATTACTCTTCACAAACAGTTCTAAACAGAAAACCAATTCAAAACATAAAACCAAGTCCTCAGGTAATCCAGTCTGTGCAATAGCTAAAGCTCACGACTTATTTAAAGTGACAGTGACTCTCTCCCCTGGCGGGCCTTTAACCTGCAGGAGGCCAGGGAAGGGGGTTGTTGCCTTTCATGTGTCCTTTCCTGCCTTTGGCATCTACCACACTTACCCCTATTGCTAATGTATTAAAATCTCTTCATTAAATTTATCGGGGTGACATTTGTTAATAAAATTTTAGAAATTTCAAGTCCACAATTCTATACTATGGATACATCATCTGTATATTGCATTGTGTTCTCGCCACCCAAAGTCTAGTCTTCTTCCATCGCCACATATTCGACCCCTTCACCCTCCCTACACCCTTTCCCTCTGGTGACCACAATGCTGTTATCTGTGGCTGCGAGGTTTTTTTGTTTGTTTTTCTTTCTTTTTTATTGTCGTTCAAGTACAGTTGTCTCCATTTTCCCGCCACCACTTTCCCCCATTCCACCCACCCCCTCCTCCCACCCTCAGTCCTGTCCCCCTTTGGCTTTGTCCATGGGTCCTTTATACATGTTCCTTGATGATCCTTCCCCTTCTTCCCCCCGATCTCACCTATAAGTGGAACCTAATCTGCAAAACAAACAAGCAAGCAAAATATAACTGGAGACATGGTTTGTTTTTCTTGTTTGTTCTTTTGTTGCTTTCTGTTTTGTATCCCACGTATGAGTGAAACCATATAGTTCTTCTTTTCCATTTGACTTATTTGGCTTAGGCTAATGCTCTTGATATCTGATCCCTTCAGAGATGAAACAGGGGTGGACAGAGATGAGACTAAAGGGCAGGAAAATTCTAATTTTGTCTAGTACTGTTGTAAATTTTCTTTGTGCTGTATGGGCCTGGCAGATGTTTAACTCTGCCTTTTATTCCCCCATGGATCCTTTTGTGGATCTAGTACAGCCCCAACTGTAAACTCCTAATTCCCCTTCACACGTCTTGGCTGGCTCTTCTCCCCTTGGCACATTTCTTGGAGGATCCATTTCATACTGATCCTTTATTGCAGGGTTTACATTGTTTGCTCCTGGTGTTTTCTTAGAAGTGATAATAGTGGTTCCAGATTATCCCTTTGACTCACATTTGCATATACGGATCACAGGAAACCTGTACCTTTCTCTTGCAGTCACTGGGATTGACTCCCTCTTCAACTATCATAGGCCCCTTCAACCAGACTCTCACCTGTGGACTTTTTCCAGGGATGAGCCAAATACCATCAATGGTATCCCACCAATGGCAGGGGACATATACCCAGCTCTCCGAGTGGTCCTGTTGAAGTCCCTCTCTTGACTTGAGATTAGCAAGAGCCATACCTTCTCCCTCTTGTTGGGGGTAGGGGGAGTGGATCACCCACAGCACAGTTTTTTTCAGAGAAATCCCTCTCTTAATTTCTCTTTCTCTTTACCTGTTTTGTGTCCTCCTGTAACTGAGGAGTTCAAGAATTGTGACAACAGTCCATGGCTATCTACTTTGAGGGATGTCTTGCAGCTTAATTTGGAATTTGCTATCAATGACATCTCAATGCCTTACATCTCGTTATATTGTTCTTTGCAAAATGCTGCTGGTCTTTGCTTGCCCATTTCCTACTTAGGAATGAGACACTAAAATGCTAATCGGAATATAGGCAGAAGACGTGCACTGGGAGACTCAACTGTGTGGTACTTAGGTGGGCTACTCTGGCCATTTTTCTGGAAGATTCCTAAAAATTAATATTTTAGGTCATTAATCTTGAATCAGTTCTACCCAAGAGATGTTCTTTCTGCCAGCATTATGAGAATTTTAAAAAGCAGCTGGAAGCTGGGGTTTCACTATTCAGAATGCCAACTTTTATCTAATTCCCATTTTCCAGTAGAAAGCTTGACTTCTTCTCCTGTAGCGCCCAGTGTCCCTTCTCTGATCATTGGGGCTCTCCGGTTTGATATTTCCAGAATCAATCACTGTGTCTTTGGGAGGGTAGGGAATGTGATCTTCTAACAGCTCCTCAAACTTGCAAACAATCCTGTTTGCAGCCTTGAAGGCTGTTTTATGCATCCAGTTCTCGAGCCCCCTCTGATGCGATGGAGCTCCAGATGGCTTGGGTTTTATCGGCACCTCCTCTCTCTGGAGAGGGAGGTTTCGGTGTTCTTATTTTTGCCAAGCTAGTTGTCACACTTATACCTACTTTAGATTTCTGAAAAAAATTTAAATATCTCACCTGTGGCATCTCTTTTCTTTTTCTCCTTTTCCTTATGGGTCTTTCTAGTTCAGGTGATTCTTTAACTGTCACGTCAATGATGTTTCCAGAGGAAGTGAAGGTAATCCCATGTGTCTGGCTCTCACCCGCAAGGACTCTCCTAATGCTAGGCCTGTGATTATGTATATTCCTGACTACCATTCATTCAATCCCTACCACAACTGTGTGCGACTGATTGTATTCCACATTTTACATAGTTATAGATGAAAGCACTGAACCTCAGGGAGGAAAAGTGGTTTGTTTCAAGTCATACGATGGGAAAGTCAAAGAGCTGGAGTTTGCTTTAAGGTCTTATTTTGGCAAGTTTCATGTGTCTGTTTTTCTACAACATCATAACTACCTCTTGATAGAGCCTCAATTCCTCTTCTATCACTGGATCTTTTTATTTTCTTGGCACCAACACGTTATGCTTTATTTGAAGATAGAGCTGGATGGAATAGCGCTGATTTCATCCACCAGCCAAGTGCTTCGCAGTCATTTGCGTGTTCATGGAGGCTTGTTTAATGCTTTTCCCAAATCAGTAGGTCTTTCGTTTCTAGACTGCACTTGTGTTAAGTGGTATTTTTTCGTTTAGATTTAATCTAAAGTATATTGAAACATGTCGTGGTGAATTTGTTACTGGTAGCCATGGAAGTCTGAGGATTAGCTGAGTAGAGCAGTCGGCAAATGAACACTGCCCAGGGACAATCATGACACAGAAGTTGCCTGAGAACAGAACAACTGAATACAGACACATGTCAAGAAGACGTAGAAGTTACGTACAAAAGAAAAACATCCTATCCATAGGATGTCCAGGAAGCACCCCTGCTCTTGTCTTGGGCCTCTTCTTAACAGATGAGGCAAATCAGGTCATTTATAACTTTACATAAATATGAAGCCACACCTAAGGTATATTGATTTAGACAACTGACACAAAAGGCCATTTACTAATTAGAAGCTCCTCTTGGGTAGTATTTTTGTTTTCACCTTTCACTTTCTGTAAATGTGTCTCCTGCCATACAGTTAGTCCACTAATTAAGTGGCATCTTGCCTTGCCCCAAGTTACATAGTCACACACAGAGTTTCTATAATGACAGCTAAACCTTTGAGCCTCCCGGGGAATTGAATTCATCTGCATTTTTGTTTCAGCTCAGGGAATTCCACTTTAAGGCTCAAGTTTCTAAGCACGATAGGCCTTAACACCCTCCCTTTGGGACTGGGTCCTCATTGCCTGCCTTTCTTTTTAATTGTTCATTATCCAGGCCATGCAGGTGCTCCCTAATTTCCCCCCTGGCTAAGAGCCTAGTCCTCTCTCTTGGTGGCACTTTTAATTGTTAGTGTTTCTCATCCTTCCTCCAGAGGTAATTGGCCCCAGAGAGAGCCTCCAGGAAAGTAAGTGCTGAAACTTTCTCAATTTATTGGATACCGAATGCAGGGGTATCACAGCAAGTTTGGTTTGATTGCTTTTGATTCCTCTCCTGAGACTCACCTGAGTTCAGACAGAGGCTGTTACTTCCCTGCTATGTCATTCTTATGACCCTACAAAATGCCTAGATGAAGGTCATCCCTAGGCCAGTTGGCATGTCTTGCAGTTTTCTCAAATAGCTGCCCTCAAATAACTATGCTGACTTACAGGCAAGCTCATTTTTAGGTCATTTACATCACCTGAGGGCTTGTCAAAAATGCAAATGCTCAGGCCCCATCCCAGACCTATTGAATCAGAAACTCTGGGGGTGGGGCCCCGCCAGTAATCTGCATTTTGATAAACTCTCCAGGTGATGGATGCCCACAAACATTTAAGAAATATTGGGCCACACAAAAGTAAGAAAGAGAGTTGTGCATTTTGGTTTGTTTTTCTTAAATACTAGGCCTTCCCACAGTCTGTTGTACTGATCAGACTCTAAAAATTCTTTGGTAAAGTAAAAAAAAAGTAAAGTAAGCTTGTCTGTGTCTCAGGGAGAAGAACACAGGACAGCTTATAGAATGATTAGTTTAGAGTGGTAGATTTATAGGCCTCAGAAATCTGTGAAACTATCTGCTTTTCCAAGACAGCATAGTTGCACAGGGCAAGGCATATCAAATAGTGGTGGGGGATCATGGAAAGACCACAGGTACTTGATTTGGGTCCCAATCCCTGGCTGCTGCCATTGCCTCCCCAACCCCGCAACCGCATTTAAAAAAAATCTGCCTGCTACTATCAAAGTAGATTTCTAGAAATAATGTTCTTGGTGAGCTGCTTTCTGATCTACTGAGCATGTAGTGGGCACAGGCAGAGCTTGCATATTTACAAAGCTGTTCACTTACGATATTTGGGCTCAGCCAATACTATCAGGTCCCACAGAGAGGTCAGGATGCATTAAGGTTTCTTTGTAGTTCTTTTTGTCTTTAGAATACGTCCAGTAGGATTGTACAGTCAACATACTGTGTGTTAAAGGCACTAGAATGAATCATTGCCTTTCTTTGGTCTTATTATCAATTTGATATGTAGTGAATTTGTTTCCACTTGATTCAATTTTTAAGGATATATTTTATAAAACAACTGAAACCATATATTTATTTAGGGACCTTTATATTCACTATATTTCTCTGAGGTATAATTAGCAAATATTTTCCTCAGTTTGTCCTTTTCTTGACTTTACTTTAGGTGTTTTTTTGGTCATGGGTAGGTCATTAATATTTTTAATGTAGCTAAATTTATTCATCTTTAACTTCCCTTTGAAATTTGAGCCATTTCATGACAGTTCTCATTTCATTCCCAGATTAAAGAAAAACCCGTCCATTTTTAATTCAAGTATTTGTATGATTTGAATTATTACATTTAGATCTGGCACCCATTTGGAAGTTAATATTTCATAGTACTTTATTTTAAAATATTAGGCAGTTTTTTTCCCCAGGTGCTATTTTAGCTACTGGAAATACAATGTGACAAGACCAACAAAATCTAGTTTCTCTCCAAGCTCATGACCCAGTGGAGGAAGACAGACCCTCGTTGGCACTGTCTCCCCTATTTCAGATACCGACATTTCAGATAATGGTGTGATTTCAGATTATGGCGAATGCTATAAAGTCAATGAAAAAGATGAAGGGATAGATACAGGCTGGAGAGATGCCTCTCCACTAAGATGATTTTTCTTTCAGCTGATTAATGAATGACAAGATGAGGCTAGCCATATCAAGGCCAACAGAATAGTTAGCACTAAGGCAATGAGGAGGAATAACCCTTAACACTGTCGGGTGCTCACTGTGAACCAGGCACGATGCCAAAACACTTTCTCTGCGTTATCCATGTATTTCTTATAACAACCCTTTCAGGTAGGTATTTATTCTTAGCCCCATTTTAACATGAGGACCCTGAGTCTGGACGAGTTCAAAATCATTGGCCTCCTTTGAACCTCTGACTTGGCGTAAGGTCTCAATGTGCAGCAGTGAACCCTTGATTTTCTCCCTGCAGGCTTTCACGAGAAGGATAAAAAGCCATACTGCCGAAAGGATTTCTTAGCCATGTTCTCACCCAAGTGCGGTGGCTGCAACCGCCCAGTGTTGGAAAACTACCTGTCAGCCATGGATAACGTCTGGCATCCAGAGTGCTTTGTTTGTGGGGTCTGTACACTCAGTCACTTTTCTGGATTTAGGGAAAGTCAGGGGTTCTCCTCTCCGAGAGGCAGAGCTGGTCAGAGGGTTCACAGCTCGGGATGAGGCACTGGTGTGGGCTTCCAAAAGACACGAAATGTAGCATTTGTTGTGGGCATTTGCTTGTTTGTGTTGCAAGTGGGCCGTATTCTCCCCTCCGTTTGTCAAAGACCTGCATGAATTCCTGCCACTGGCACATTAACTGGCAGGAATCTCCAGCCTGAAAGTTTTACTTTGCTGAGGTTTTATCTTCTTGACATCTGCATTCCTTTCCTTTCTCTTCTCTCCTCCCCCAGGACTGCTTCAGCAGTTTCTCTACTGGCTCCTTCTATGAGCTGGATGGACGACCCTTCTGTGAGCTCCATTACCACCACCGCCGGGGGACGCTCTGCTACGGGTGTGGGCAGCCCATCACCGGCCGCTGCATCAGTGCCATGGGCCACAAGTTCCATCCCGAGCACTTCGTGTGCGCTTTCTGCCTGACACAGTTGTCACAGGGAATCTTCAGGGAACAGAGTGACAAGATCTATTGTAAACCCTGCTTCGAAAAGCTCTTCTCACTGTAATCTCAGCCGACCCACACACCCTTCAGATCAGCTAGAAAATTTAAATCAAGAGAGGAAAGAGTACATTGGTTCTTACTGACCTTCTGCTTAATGAGCATATAGAGAAAGTAAAGGCGATGAACAAGGAAGGGGATGTCTAAATGTTACATGACTAGGCGCGTGGCCTTACATTTCAGATTTCAGTGTTAGTTTTGTTTTTTTTTAACTGGGGACTTGGATTTAGATCCGGGTCCTGCTGTCTGGCACGTACACAGATATCTCTCCCACATGCGCATGATCGTTTCACAACTGCTTTTCTCACATCTCTCCATTTTTCTCACATTTCTCACATTTCACTCCTCTGATGTTCCAGCTCACATCTTCTCTCCTTTGGCCTTTTCAAGCTTCCCGTATTTCCCTGTGACTCAGTTTCCCACAGTCACGGCTGTGGACTTTATCCTTGCTGCGAGGAATTGGGATACGATTCTTAAGCTCCTTGCATGTCCCTTGGGTGTATTTCTCATTTTCAAGAGAAAGTAGATTTTACCTGGACAGCTTTGAGTGCTGACACAATTGCTCATTAAAGTGGCTCCTGTTTTAATGACTCAGTGTCATATGGTTTGGTAGATAAACCTTCTGCTTCTCCTATCAGCGTACTAGGCACTTTGTGCGATTAAGTGTGTGTCACACCTCTCGTGCACTTCCGTACAATTAGCACTTGTTTCACCAAAAGAAATGAAAAAGAGGGACTCCTATTCACTCGCTTTTTAAAATTAATGTGGGCCTGTTCATGACATTTCTTTTACTTTATCTTTTTTGCACTTAGATAAATGAATCCTTTGCAAAGATGGCAAAGCTTCTTAAAGTACTTTTCATCACTTTGTTACTGAAAGAGGAAAACTGGATCTCTCCTAAGAACTTGCAAATCCGTATTTGCATGTGTATGCATGTCTCCAAACTCATAAAATTGCACATACTAAATATGTCCAGATTTCTTGTGTATCAGTCAAATGCCAATAAAGCTGTTGTTTGAAAATAAAAAAGCATCCCCCTCAATGTCACGGTCGTCTCGTGAAGATAAATGAGATGGATGTCCTTAGGATATTGCTGAAGAAAGAGGTTAGAAAAAAACCATTTGACCATTTTCCAGTCTGGATTAGGAAATCCAAGCACCCAATAAAAAAAATCTCTACTTCATTATTTGTTCCTCTGAAAAATATTTCAAGTAAAGTTGTAGAAAAGCTAGTCGGGTTATTAAAGAATCTGACCTTCTTGTGTCGTACCTCAGGAAAGCTTCAGAAGGAGTCATGTTTACTCAGAAGAGGTATTGAGAAGGTCTGTACTGTATCGTTCTTACCATGGTCTTAAAGAGAGTGTATGATTATTTGTTAAAAAATGAATTACATGACTGAGGAAAACTCCTTAACTAAAGGTACGCCTTAAGAACTGATTTGGTGCCTAGATCGGTAGGAGCACAGAACTTCTTGGAGAACTGCTGGATTAAATGATTCTTATCAAGCTTTGCTACATCTATCTGGGTTCTCTGGCACAGCGCCTCTTCATGTATATTTTCCACATGCACTCATTTGTTGGAATGCATGATAAGGGGTGTAAAAGTTAAAAGGAAGTGATAACAGTTCATTCTGTGAAATAGGAACTTCAAATGTATCCAAGCTGTGTGGGAGGCCACACAGTTAGGGAGCCATCTGGCCTCATGTCCTGTTTGGTTGGCTGAGAGAACCAGACTAAGCAAAACTGACGTTCGACTTCTAAACATCCTCTTACTGCATTTGACACTGTGATGTCACATGCAGGTGTTAATGTGGCAGTTCGTGGTTGCTTGGCAACTTGACAAACTGAACCTGAGGTTTTAGCCTTCAAAAAAGGATGTTCAAGTGCTAACACCTTTTTGTTAAGAATTCGCTATTTTGAGATTTCAGTAGATCTAAATATTTTTAAACGTCAGAGAAACTCCAGAGTTCATTAAAGTACAATTAAGAAGTGAAGGCTTCTTCTTCTCACAATAAATAGAAGTTTTCAAAACAAGATGATGCCTTCACAGCTAGTGTTTTTAGCCACAAGAAATAAAAATAACTTGCAAGTAAAATGTTCTTTTGAAAAAAAAAACCCCCAGAAATCCTACTGCTCAAACCCATCACCTGTTTATTCTTGATTCTGAGTAACTCCTTGATTTTACAAAAATAAAAGCTACCCTCAAAGACCAGGGCTTTTCCATCAGTGATAGATAGACAGATAGACAGATACAAATGTCAAAGAATATGATGTAGACTGGAAACTCTATTCTCAAAGAGGAATTTCTCAATTAGTTGGCCAATTATTTTTATTTTATTATTATTTATTTTTTTTTAAGATTTTGTTTATTTATTTTTAGAGAGGGAAAGGGAGGGAGAAAGAGAGAGTGAGAAACATCAATGTGTGGTTGCCTCTCGCACACTCCCCACTGGGCACTGGGCCCACAACCCAGGTGTGTGCCCTGACTGGGAATCAAACCAGCGAACCCTTGCTTTGCAGGCCAGCATTCAATCCACTGAGCCACACCAGCCAGGGCTGGCCAATTATTATTTAAAATAAGTATATAATCTCCCAAGGTGATACTTTGCTAAAGATAATGTTTATTTTCCATACAAGTTCTAGCGTGAACTTCTCTTGCGGTTGTAGGATGGCTGCCAGCTATGTGCTACCTTCTTCATGACCACTAGAGGGAGAAAGAGTCCTTTCCTTGAGCTCAGCTAGAAAAGTCCTGAGATTCTCCTAACTGGGCCAGCTTGGGCCACAGACCCACTGGTGACTTTGGGGGGAGGCGGGGATGGACTGTGCAGCTTGGCTGAAGCCAAACCGGACCATTTCCAGAGTGAGGGGCAAGACCAAGTTCCCCAAAACACAGGGACTAGGTGGAGGAGATGTGAATATTTAAAACAATCTGGGGATTGTTGAACAGGGGGTAATGAATGTTGAGAATATGACTCTGTGTTAGAAAACACACATATTAAAGTGTCTTCTGAGTTTCAAGGCAATACAGAAGGTAAGAAAATAGATATGCCCAGAGCCCTGAGGGAACATGCCTAAGAACTCTACAGAGTTCAAAAGTAGAGGAGAGCCAGGAATAATGGCGTTTAAAGAATAGGAGGCCCATATAAGTTCTTGGACTTCTCTGGACTAAAGCAGGGAGATGCTGGAGAGTTGTGGGTTGAAGGGTGGAGGGAGGATAAAGGGGAAAAATTGGGAAAACTGCAGTAGCATAATCAATAAAATATACTTTAAAAAAATAATAGGAGGCAGGAGTACTGGTCTTCCTTAGGCCCCAGAGTACAGCAGTAAGAAGCATCGAAAGCAGCTTCAGCCCTGGCTGGTGTGGCTCAGTGGACTGAGTGCTGGCCTACTATGCAAAGGGTCACCGGTTCAATTCCCAGTCAGGGCACCTGCATGGGTTGTGGGCCAGGTCCCCAGTAGGGGGTGCATGAGAGGAAACCACACATTGATGTTTCTCTCCCTCTCTTTCTCCCTCCCTTCCCCTCTCTAAAAATAAAATTTTTAAATAAAAAAAGCAACTTCTGTCTGAGAATCTGAAAAGCGAGCTCTTCCAGCCAAAATAAGTGCGAAGAAATATCACCTTTTGTTAGGAGCAAAAGTCTTAGGCATCATCAACAAGTCCTTAAGAAGGGCAGTGGTGGCAGCCACTAAAATGGGACTGAAAAGGTGACTGTCTGCACCCACAGTACTGTGGAGGCTCTGTTACTAGGTATAACTCACCATCGGGCAGCATGTAAGTGCTGAGAACACAGAACTCAAAGGAGAACTGGAAATCTATTGGGGTCCACTGGATGAGACAGAAACAGATCTCAGGTAAGAATTAGTGCTTGCTGTTGTACTCATTGCAAATGTGTAACTTTGCCCGAAGCAGCAATGCCTAAATCTATTCCTTTAGAAAAGAGACAGTTTATGTAGGAGGTTCCACCTCCCCGTTGTACCTAAATTAATCAAACGCATGGTGCCTAAATTAATTTCCTGTGGGAAGATGCTCCTGATTGTGTTTAGGTTCATAGTCTAGACAATTGCATAGACTTCCTGGCATCTTAGTGAGAATAATCCATCTTCCCTTTCTAGTTTGCATATCACCAAATCTCAACAAAAGACTAGGAATATCATTTTAGCCTGGGATAACTCCCCCAATTCCCGTGAGAGATACCTCAGATCTCAGGTGCTGATGGAACAATTTCTACAGCTGAGAAGGAGCACACCGAGAAATCAGAGGATTTTACTTCCTTTAAACTTCAGCTTAAAGGAGGTGACACAATCTGGACTTTACTTGCCTTTGGACTTTGAAAAAAATAACGCGGAGAAGTGCGCCCCCACTGTCTTTCACACCCTTGCTGGTGTCAGTCATATTGGTCGTCATCATAGCGTATCAGTCTAGCTTCTCCACAAGGAACCACATCTCTCCCTTGTTGGGTTCATGTGGTCATTGATGGTGCGCCGACTTTACCCTCAGCTCCTGAATGGACACGAGTGTCAGGCCTGACCAGTGAGCGTATTTTGTTCTTCTGGAGCAAGGTGACTAGATCAGGGATAGACTCGTGACTCTAGCAAAGCCAGTCAGATTACTCCCCGGGACCTTTGCTGAGTGATTGGGAAAGAGGCATTCTCATTCTGTTGGGATTCTATCTGTAGAATAATAAAAACCCATTGCTGCTGAGAAACATCTTTATCATCACTTAGGGGAGACTGTTTGAGAAAGAAGCCAACACAGAGGAAAGTACAGCTGAGTGATGATGAGCCAATGCCTTCTTTATTTTGAGCCGCTCAGTCCTGCCACATTGGCGTCTTACCCCCAGACTGAGAAGTTACCTGCGTAAATAAATTCTCCTTTTCGCTGAAACTGATGTGGGTTGGAAGTCTGTCACCAGTTAACTGAAAAAGCACAACAGATATATTCTCTCTCTTACCAACTTAAAGTATTGCAAAAGAATGAATAAGTGAATGCACACATAAACTGAATAGTGGCACAGAATGTACATTGCATGTCACCATGAAAAACAAATAGACAAAACTAGTACCTGCCATCCAAGTACTATCCAGACCCTCACCCTTCTTAGCTTCTGAGATAGATGAGATCGGGTGTGTTCGGGTGGCATGACCATAGACAAAAATAGTATCTGACCACTTCCCAATGCTATTTACATTAGAGCACAATGAAATACTTTGTATTTTAAGTTTGAGGTATCTTGTAGATAGCTGATGCATTTAGAATAAAAACTTCTTGTTCCTGTCCAATTTGTTAGTAAAGTTGAATAATGTTTATTAATATTGCTAAGGGGGCAGGGTGCTGTCATACTCTAGGATGCAAAAATGCATTCTAAATTATGTTATATATGCTACTTTGTCTAGTGCTTACCCATAGAAAACTATTAAATCTTTAATGTTACTGTAATGTTGAGCATTTGTAGTAAAAAATAGTTTTTTTAAAGATTTTATTTATTTATTTTTAGACAGGGAAGGGAGGGAGAAAGAGAGAGAGAGAGAAACATCAAAGTGTGGTTGCTGGGGGCCATGGCCTGCAACCCAGGCATGTGCCCTGACTGGGAATCGAACCTGTGATGCTTTGGTTCGCAGTCCGCGCTCAATCCACTGAGCTACGCCAGCCAGGGCAAAAAATAGTTTTAAAACATCTTCATGTCTTACTTGCAAACAAAAGAAAAAGAAAAAATTTCAAAACCACAAAATAATCTGATTTACGTTTATCCTCTAAGTTGGTCCTCAGGGAAAATTGGGTGTGCAGGGGGTCAAAGAAGAGAAAGAGGACATTTACAGTGATTCTGAGAGGAGATCTCAGGGACACTTCTCAGTGTCAGGTCTAAGGTGATGATTTTCACTATGTCGGGTGACACTTGGAAAATAAGACTTTCTCACTCCAGGTGCTTTTGCATTTTCAGACATGAATTAAATATTGGAGGCTTAAAAATAGAGTGAGAAGCTTAGAGGGAAAGCAAGTTTTCCAGGTTGATGTGAAAATTTTGAAAGAAGA